CGCGCCGGAAAGCGTCGGGCGATGGTGGGAACGAGCTCTGGAGGATGGAGAGAGTGTGGTCGCCAAGCTGTGTTTGGTAGGTGGGAACTGGAGTTTGGGGTCGAAGCAGGGGGAGAAGAAATCGGGGAGGAGGAGGAGGGAGTTTGGGTGGTTGCGAGCTGGGGTTCTGGGTTCGTTTAGGGTGGGAGGGTTGGAGGATGGCTGCGAGTATTGGTCATGGTGGAATGAGGGGGAGAAGAAAATCTCAGCGGTTTGGGGAGGATTTTTTAATAGATTATTATAAATAAACCCAATCCTAGGCATGTATTTATAAAAAAAACTCACACACTATTTAAACATAGAAACACACTCAAAATCAACCCCAAAATTAACAATTGTATATTTTTTGGGTGTGTTTATAAATGAGTTTTGAGTGTGTGTAATGATGGGTTTTGGGTGTGTTTATAAAGTATTTTGGGTGTTGGGTTTTTTTATAATTTCAGCCCGGAAACCCTAACGGCGGAACCACTTTGCAAAAATTTACAAACTAAGAGTACGTGATTGTTAAAATTGAAAAGATAGGGACTAATATGCCCTAAGGGTACAACTTTAGGATACCAAACTGTAATGAACCCAAAATCAAAATACCTAGTGGGTTTTGTTCTTGTCAGAGAGTCGGAAAAAAGTTGGGATTTATATCATTTTCCCATGCAATATACTCCTCCTAAATTAGCATCTTTGATGCTACACTTGGACTCTGTTCATGCTCCGCTTCAACGCTTAACTTAAGCATGGATTTTAAACTGATCATCGGCTGTTAGACTTGCAGGATCCTGCTATGAAGTAATCATTTTAAAAACCTTGGAATAACAACTTTTTTAATCAATTTAGTGGTGGCTCCTTCTCCTTGTGTTGTGATCACTGATTACTATATTCATTGATGGGGTGTGCTCTAGATTTTAGAGTAGTGGTGGTCTATTTTTATGATCTGCTTAATTAGACTGCCCCATATATTTCAAACTCAACTTTATTTTCCGGTCAGGGTAACAAGTCTTTTTTGTATTTGAATGAAGCATGCGGTACTCTCTGATCATGTGGTCCAATTTTATGTTTGGCAATCTCTTAGCCACTTATGAAGATTATACTGTGCAAGTTGTGGTTTAAACTAACTGCTTTTGATTTTCATAATCCTAGGACAAGGCTTATGAGCCAAGCCGAAAGTATAAAGAAGGAATGTACATCCTAGAGAGGGAACGGATGCTTAAGGAGGGTTGGTGATGCTTTTGAAAGGAAACATTTGCTAGAATAGATCAAAAGCCATCTCTTTGCAATACCAGACACTTTCTGTAAGTAAACAGTGTTAATGCTGATTGCAGCTGGTACAAGTTTAGGATAAGAACTATTTGATTCTGAGCACCAAACGACTTTGTTGTTCTGTATATTGGATCTCTTGCTCTGTCTTTGAAAGGATTTCTCCACAAAATTGCAGCTTCATTAAATGACTATGGAATTATGTCATGGTTTGACACATATTGTGGTTTCATGCAAATGGGTAATTTGGAATTTTCTTTTTATTTCCTGGACAAGAAATACCTGCATTAGTCTTCTATCTGCCAGCCGCTGTTTAACGGGCATAAATATGTCATTTTCATCCTTCCACTCATTAGCAATCACAGTTGCCACCTGGTTTGCTGAAACTTTAACTCTTGCAAGCTCTCTCTCTCTCTCTCTCTCTCTCTCTAACAGGGAAATTTTCAATTCCTTGTTTCATGGCTTCCTAATTTTAAGAAGAAAGGAAGCACAGATTAAGTTAAGGAGCGCAGGCAGCATGATCATGCAGAAATAAGAAGAAATAATTATTGTCCCTGTTTAGGGAACCCTGTCTTTCATTTCATGCTTGTAGCTTTCCATGATCATGCTTAGAAAATGTCACCAGAAGTTGCATTCTTGACTTGATTAAAGTAATTGAATTGCATAGTAGGAAAAAGGAATAAAAAGAAGACCAACTAAGAATTTACAAGTTGCATATGTATTGTTCAAATGCAACTCAAATGAATACGTTAACAATTTACTGTAACAATATCCGAGGTGATGGTGCAAACGTTAAGTTGTGTACGCAAAAGTTGGTTGAGAATGAGATGGTGCTAGATCAGATGCTGTCAAAGTTCCTGAATGATCAATGTCAAGTTTCTTGAAGGTTTCCATCACCAGTGAAATATCTTCCTGGCAGATCTTCCCCATCTCCTTTAGCTTATATACGATAAACTCTGCAGCACTGATACAGAAAATCCAACACGTTAAGCCACGTGAGAATTGATACATCTCATTTACAAATAACAGAGCATTATATTCATACCCAACGACTTTATCATGATCAAGATCTGCATCCTCAAGATCCGAGAGTGTCAATCTCCGAGTAAGAACCCACTTCACAAGTGATCTTTGCCTTCTTTCAGTGTATAGTTCAGCAAGGTAGAGAAAGAATTGTGCTAAGCAAATGGTACTGCTCAGTATCCAAAAAACAGCGAAAATTCGACCTCCTCCAGTTGAGAAGCTCTCATCGCCATAGCCTAGAGTAGTAATGGTGGAACAAACGCAATAGAAAGCATCCATAACTTCCAGATTCTCAACTAGACATAAGAAGACAGTTCCTACTATAACAAGCAGCAAAAGAAGGATTCCAACCGTAACACATTTGAACTTGACTTTCTCAGTCTCAACCTCCTTAAGAAGCTCTGGTGGCCCAATTTTATCCCGGAAGTGTATGGCTCTAACCAAAAGGATTTCCTGCTTCTCTACAATGTAATCTGCTGCCTTGCCAAGAATTAAGCCAACAAGAGCCATGCCTGTGAACACATAAAAGCATGCAACTAGCTTTGCCAACATGCTATTGGGTACAAGGTCCCCGTATCCAACGGTGCTCATTGTGACTACACACAAGTACATGGAATCCAGAATCGCATTCGTTTTTTTACCTCTTATCTGATGCCTCATCAGGAAAAAACAGAAGGTGCCTCCACCAATGTATGCCACCAACATCAAGATTACTTGCTTTAAACTAAATTGTGGTTTCACATAGATTGACTCACAATCTGCAGGACATTGAGATCCCGCTTCATTTTGTTCTAGGCGGTTCTTAAATGATGGACATGGAGTGCTACCATATTGGCGATTTCTTCTTCTCTGGACCTCGTTCGTTTCGTTATTGAGTTGAGCAGGTTCTTTCTTTTCAGAAAGTAAGCCTTGTTTAACATCATCATGATCACTAGCCATCAGCGCATTACATAAAGGTTGATCTGCTTGAGCAAGGACCTGCACAGAAAAATTGAAATTATATAAGTACTGCAAATCACAACATAAGTTAACATTGGTTCTCACTAGCTTAAAAGTTCAGCCGTCAAAGCTTCTCCAGCCAAAACTTTTGATGGTCAAAATTCAACAGTGCTCATTGCAGTTAGAATGAATTTGCTTGCGTCACTAGAGCATATCTCACCGAAAAATTTCAAGTCTCGGCAATTGAAACTGATAGGCCTTTGAGTAACATTCTTTTGTGAATTTGTTATCAGCACCCTTGCAAATATTGATATCCTTGAAACTGATCCCCACCTGAAAATCAAAATGACAATGCATCCCATGAAATGCAATATCATAGTATTTATTTTGAATCTTGATCCACGCAGTAAAGATTCAAAATCAGCAGATTAAAGGGACATAATTTTTGCCGAACTCATTCTTTGGCTGTGTCATTACGATTAAGAATCTAACAATGAGGACAAAAATCAAACAAAAAATCCATTTCAAATTCTCATCGTAAATATGGAACTATAACTTGTACAATCATTTCAAATGACTGACTTCCTAGTATAAATAAACACGTGCTTTGAATTTAATCCACACTCAATGACATGGATCTCTTCTTTGATACCATTTTTTTTGTATTGAAGACTGCAAATATAAATGAACACAACTTCCTAGTATAAATAAACACGTGCTTTGAATTTAATCCACACTCAATGACATGGATCTCTTCTTTGATACCATTTTTTTTTTGTATTGAAGACTGCAAATATAAATGAACACGCGATATGATATGATGATAAAGTAAACAAATTAAAGAGAAGAAGAAACACTATATAATATCTTGCCTGATGAAACTGTTTCCCTCAATCCACCAGCAGTAGTGCTTCAAATGAAATGTTGTTTCCCTTATACAGAAAATGAGAAAATAAAGAAAGAGGCAGATTAATGAATATGGTGGTCTATATATATATGCTCCTCTCTCTACATACGTGATCATACCAATATATTTCATACTGATTCTAGAGAGTGATGATGAATAACAAGCAACCAAGAATCACTCTGCTGCTTCCAACTGGGTAGTTTTTCACCACAAACAGAAAATAGCTACTTAGTGGGGGTATTTGAAATCCACTCGGACGCATCCCATTCTCATCCCATGTGTGTCTCTCACTTGTCCACTCTTTCAACGTCCATTCCATGAGCTTTCGTTTTACAAAGAGTTCCAAGAACAAATTCCTCAAGGTCAAGACACACAAATTAAACCAAGCTAACAAATTGTAGCTACTGGACTTACGGACATTCTCCAATAAGTATTTAAAGTTAAGGATTAGTTACATACTTTTAATCTCGGCAGTTGGATTGCATCTAAGAGACTACCAAGACATTTAATGAATGCAATCTAATGACTAAGATTATAAGTACATAACAAATCCTTAACATAATATACTTATTAGAGAATCTCCAAAATCAGAAATGGTAAATAAGGGCTCTGCAGAACTAAATCCCAAACTTGGACTCCAACTAGGACTATGCCCAAGTCCAGCCCAGAGTAAAACAAGTCCTTTAACAGGCCTGACCCATCTAATCTGCTTCTGCTTCTGCTTCCATTATTGAAACCCTTTTTTCTTTGTTTTTTCTTTTTTCGGTTACAATTATTTGGGAAATTTTCAGAGAGAGGGAAAGCAAAAAGAAAAGAAAAAGAGGACACTCAGCTCAGCTGTGGAGGAAGTTGAAGAAGGAACAAGGGTTTAAGCACACTTTCTCCTATTCTTTCACTGGTACGTGATTTTTCAGCCCGGTTCTAAGCTCTTTTTATGTTTCTGGGGTTCGATTTGCTTTCTCCAATCTGTTAAACCCCTTGCCGCTTTGTGAAACCCATCAAAAACCCTGTGTTTTTTTTCTTCTATCAATTTTAGTTTTTGTTTAAGGGTTTAGACTGCGGGCGACGTTTCTTGGTGACTCAAGACTGGAGTATCTTAAGGTTGAGTTTTACAGTTAAATTGAAGTGTAATAAATGACTTCTCCACCATCGAAAAACATATGGATTCGGCGGCAACAATGCCCATGTGGGGATTGGAAATGTTATGTGACATATGAGGGAGACTCTGAAGAGACATCATCCATAGCATCCCAATTGGTAAAGAATGATAGTGCAGCCTCAGAAGCTATGGTTTCCCCTTATGTTGGAATGGTATTTAAGAGTGACGATGATGCATTTGAGTATTATGGCAACTTTGCTAGAAAAAATGGCTTCTCAATTCGGAAAGAGCGGTCCCGACTTAGCCCTCAATTGGGTATTTATAAGCGTGACTTTGTTTGTTATCGTTCTGGCTTTGCACCAGTGAAGAAGAAGCCGACAGGAGAACACCACAGGGATAGGAAGTCAGTTCGGTGTGGATGTGATGCAAAAATGTATTTGTCCAAGGAGGTAGTTGATGGGGTTTCTCAATGGTTTGTTGTGCAATTCAGTAATGTCCATAACCATGAGCTTTTGGAAGATGACCAAGTACGCCTTCTTCCTGCATATCGTAAAATTCATGAGGCGGATCAAGAGCGGATACTATTACTTTCTAAAGCTGGGTTTCCTATACATCGCATAGTGAAGGTGTTGGAGTTGGAAAAGGGGATTCAAGGTGGACAATTACCCTTTTTAGAGAGGGACGTTAGAAATTTTGTCCAAAATCGTAAGAAGGTTGTTCAAGAAAATGATGCTTTGCTCACTGAAAAACGGGAAAACGATACATTGGAACTTCTAGAGGCATGCAAGGGAACAAAAGAAGCAGATGAAGACTTTGTTTATGATTTTACAGTGGATGAGAATGATAAAGTTGAACACATTGCATGGTCATATGGTGATTCAGTCCATGCATACACTATGTTTGGTGATGCAGTTTATTTTGACACTTCGTATCAATCAATCACGTACGGTGTGCTTTTTGGAGCATGGCTTGGCATTGACAACCATGGAAGGACCATTTTCTTTGGTTGTGTTCTTTTGCAAGATGAAACACCTCGTTCCTTCTCGTGGGCTTTACAGGTTTTCTATCCAATATCCTCTATACTGATTTTAGATTAGCCATGTCTTCTTATATGCTCCCTGACATTGATTTGTACTTTTTGCATACAGACTTTTGTTCGTTTCATGAGAGGGAGATGCCCGCAAACAATTCTAACTGATCTTGATCCTGGGCTGAGAGATGCAATAAGAAGTGAATTACCAGGCACTAAACATGTCATTTCTATATGGAATATTCTTCCCAAGCTATCCAGCTGGTTCTCTGTTTCACTTGGATCTCGCTGTGCAGAATTTAAATCTGAGTTTGATGTGTTATATCGGGTGGAGAGTACAGAGGATTTCGAGCTTCAATGGAATCAAATGATTTCAATGTTTGGGCTTACTACAGATAAACATATTGCTTTACTTTATTCATTCCGGGCATCCTGGGCTCTGTCATATATGAAGGGTTACTTTCTTGCTTGTATGGCAACGACTACATATTCGAAGTCTGTAGATGCATTTTTGAAAGGAGTTTTCAGTGCACAAACATGTTTGCGTAGCTTTTTTGAGCAGGTATTTAGTAAAAACTTTTCATGTTTGATAAATGCCTTTAGTTCTTCAATTGATATGATTTCTTAATGCTTGAACACTTGCAGGTTGGTATTTCTGCCAATTTTCAAAATCAGGCACGTCAAGAGATGCAGTATATGCATATTAAAACATGCATTCCCATTGAAGAGCATGTGAGGAGTATTCTGACGCCTTTTGCCTTCAATGCTTTGCAGCATGAACTTGTGCTCGCCATGCAATATGCAGTATCTGAAATGTCCAACGGGTCATATATTGTGCGCCACTTTAAGGAGATTGATGGGGAGCGTCTTGTGATATGGATACCAGAAGAGGAACAGATTCATTGTTCCTGTAAAGAGTTTGAATCTTCTGGATTGTTATGCAGACATTCTCTGCGTGTATTTGTAGTAAAGAACTACTTTCAGCTTCCTGACAAGTACTATTTAAATAGATGGCGGAAAGAAAGCTCTCTTGATTTTTATGATGACCACCTTACTCGAACTAGCGATGATGAATGGTTTCAAGATTATCACTGCCTTACTGAAACCGTGTTTACAGAATCATCAATTACAAAGGAGCGTGCTGATTATGTTCGCAGGGAACTGACAACACAACTCACAAGGATTCTTAACGAGGTTAGAAATATGCCAGAATGTGAAGGAGTTGCTATGGATCTGACATTTTCCCCTACGGGCTAATTTGAAGCAGTTGTTCATGTGTACTTTATTGGTATCAAATGCAACTGCAACATGCTTTCTGGAATTTAGAGAATAGACAGAGTTAAAGAAAATATGATTGGAAGGTTTAGGCAATGGAAGGACAATATGGCTTTGCATTATTTCTCTTATATTGAGCAGAAAAGTGTAATGTTTGGAAGATCCAACGCTGTTCGGCCAAATTGCTGTTTAAACTTCCTGATGTATAACATCACAACACACAAAAAGGAAGTGGAGAAAGGAACTTACCTAAGGTGATGTACTCTATCTGTATATGTCATTGATAAAATTTGAAATGAAGCAAAGTAGAGTTTCTTCCTTTGTGTGGTCTTGCCCTTTCTTTCTGGAAACTGTGGAGTAGCTTTCTTTAGCATTTACCAGTTTTTAGATTCTTTTTTCCCATAACTGAGATAAAAATTGGATTCAAGTATGCCAACACAATCTGTTTAGTTTAAAAAGAGAAAAAGAGGAGAATAAAAATGGGGAAGAAGTGTTGCGAATTACCATACTAGCTGCACTTTTAATTATTTGTGAGTAGTAGTAATATGTTTTTGTATTTTGCAAGTTTTTCAAGATTAAGGTTTTGCAATAGATAGCCACCAAGTAAAGTTGCTTATAGAAAGTGGTGATTTGGATCACGGGGTCATCTCATGTCCTCCTCCATCCAAATCCAAATTCCAATTCAAGTTTAACTGAACTCTCTATCATTCTAAGAGAGCCAAGAGGTGCTGGACCAAACCCAACTAATATTAGTATTACTGTCTGTCTTGGAAAATTGGACCCTACATCCTATCCTAATCTATTTGGTATTTGAATGAAGGCCTTGGTTGATTGAAGAAGTATTTTAATAATTTGTACTGGAACTGTTGGCAATTATTTGGCACTCACGTCTTGTCCTCATTTGCAGAAAGACAGACAGAACCAGTTTGCGTTTCTATGATCACTCTGGAATGCTTCTAGTTCTCTAGTTCTAGTTCTCTAGTTCTAGTTCTAGATCTCTCCTTTCATAATTCCGGAAAGGGAAGGGGCCCCTATTCTCAAGAGATTTAAGACCCCGTTTGAGGTGTCGGTGATATTTCTGATTGTTATAAATCTTAAAAATTATAATGAAAGTGAAACACAAGAGTCGATTTGCGCACTGTACAAAGTAGGCCCTACCAATTTGTCATTAAAAGTCGGTTTTCACTCACTGTTTTTGCCTGTTGTCTGTTGTCTGTTGTCAAACAATATCTAATTTTCCTATGCATTTACTTACTATTAGTGATATTTTTTTTGGGCGTAGATAGACGGTCAAGTTATGGAGGCATTGATCTGATTCTGAATTCTGATGGGCAGCCTAAGTTACCTATCTTAATGCAATTTCCTCAACCCCCGAAAGATAATAATTTTTTCACATCATTCCATTTGCTGCAATTTCAGTTCTTCAAAGCAATGCAACGTTGGCTTTGTTGTGTAGTAGAGAGTTTTGAAGACTAGATGGATGCAAATTAATAGGACTCAGAAATAAATCATTCCTAAATGATTGGATGGAAAGAGCAATCAACGACATAAAAATGGAATGCATAATCATACACATGAGATGTTTACAAGGTCCAAGTGACGTTACAGTACTAGCTAGCCAGCTATAGAGCTACAAGAAAATTATTAAAACCTGATCTGATGATGACGATGACGATGACTATGATGATGGTGATGATGATGATGATGACGATGACGATGACTATTATGATGATGATGATGATGATGAGTTAAACAAACTGAACTGTATATGTTTTATGTATGTGCAGAGGCACATCTGCTCGCTGAATGGTTAAACGGCAATGGGTTGCCGTTGAGCTTCAATCCTGATTTCCTCCTTCATTTTTCTTATAAATTCTTCGAATTTTTTGTTGAGTTCATATGTACTAGTGGTGGCTAAGTAGTCATTTACATGATTTGTTTCCAGCTCTGGTGTGTCCATCTCTTCTTCTCGTTGCTTTATCAAAGATTCACTTCCTCCTCCACCTTTTTCTTCTGCGCTAAAAGCTTGAGGTATTTCTTCTGCCTGCAATAGAGTCCCATTTTTAAGTTCTTCCTGTTGTCCATCTCCGTCGTCGTTTTCTTCTTCTTCTTGTATAGTTGGTGATTCCCCTTCATCTTCACCAGCAGCATAAGTGATGGCGTCCTGATCTAGAGAATCATCGTGGGATTCATGATTATTAATAGAGGTGGTGCTGCAACTGAAACTGCAAGTGCAAGAATTATCATTGGATTTGGAAGTAGTAGATTTTGCAAGAAAAGCAAGGATTCCATTACAAACGAGAAACATGTACTTCCTCTCTAGCGCGCGGGTGAAAATTGAGAAAAGCAACGTGGAGAAATAAACATTGAACTCAGTGAAGGAATACGGAAATAAACAAAAACCTGATGAAGAAGAATAGCAAAGAAGAAACAAAGACAACAAAGACACTGAGAGTAGAAGCTTCAAAGTCCTTTTCATCAACAACTGGCCCAAGTAGAACAAGTACTTGTTCGAATATTTTTTAGGCACAGCAACGAGTTTCTGATCCTCATTACTTCGATCCATAATCATAACTGCTGCTTATAATTATATATTAATTCTCTTCTGTTGCGGAAGTGAAGAGAACAGAAGAAGGTAGGTCACAACTTACAAGGGAAGGAAGGGAATGAATGAATATGTTTATTAAATTGGTATTCGTGTGTTTCTTATTAAGGAGTGGGCAGGGAATGGAGCGTTTCAGACAATTATTACACGCATGGGCGCAGTGCAAGAGAGGGCCGCCCAAATCAGTATAAATAAATAAAACGAAAGACATCAAACTTGAAAGAATAATGAAGATGTTCTCTTGAAGTTTCTAGCTGCCACCAAAATAAAAGATAAAAATTGTCACCACTAAATCTAATAATACTCTACGTCTAGTCTAGGAGTCTAGGACATGGTGGTAAGTAAGACTGCAATGCACTAACAAAATGTTATTCCCTTGGGTTGGCTTGGGTCCACACGGCAGTCAAAGTCTAGGACTGGACATAGAGACTGCTTAGTTTAAGGGTCCACCTTCACCTTGGCAATTTTCTATACAAATCGTTATGATTTGTTTATTAAATGAGTGGATTTCGGGTCAACTTACTAACCCGTTAAAATACTTGTTTAACCTATTTATTAAACAGGTCGTGTTAACCCGCTGCAATGCACTAACAAAATGTTATTCCCTTGGGTTGGCTTGGGTCCACACGGCAGTCAAAGTCTAGGACTGGACATAGAGATTGCTTAGTTTATGGGTCCACCTTCACCTTGGCAATTTTCTATACAAATCGTTATGATTTGTTTATTAAATGAGTGGATTTCGGGTCAACTTGTTAACCCGCTAAAATACTTGTTTAACCTATTTATTAAACGGGTCGTGTTAACCCGTGTGATATATGCCAACTCGCTAACAAATGTAAGAAAATGGAGACTTCAGCACGCACATAAGGGGTTTCAAACCCCTTCAACTTTCATTCCTGTCCAACACCTTATTCATCATACTATATACAACTTTGTAATTACGTGCTACACCATTTGATATTTATAATGTTTCTACATACAATTTAATCTTTTGCTTCTCTCTTCTTTCTTTCTTTTTTTTTTTTTCCTTCTTTTTTTTTCTGCTTTTTTTTTTTTTTTTTTTTACAAATATATTAATTAAGACATTTATTATCACGGAGCGCGTGGAGCTCGAGATGGAAAACATTGAGTGGAAATTATGAAGCGGTCCCGCAAATTATTTTAAAAAAAAATTTATTATTATTATTATAGGATGGCCCCACGAACAGGTGTCGTAATGGACGTTTATGGAAGGAAACAATGGGAGAAAAAAAAAATTCACAACTCCTTAAATTCAGAAAACAAAAAACCTAGCTCCACCCATTTCTCACACCTCCTCAAACTCATAAAAATCTAAATCTATCTCCTCAAACTCATGAATAAAATAGCCTAATAATTCTCATTTTTTCTCGATCAAAACTAAGAAAACAAAAACTCTAGCTCCACTCAAGGATATATGTAAATAGTCTATAGTATACGGCAGCAACATTTTCTTTGTAGTCATATTGTTTAAATATAATGTAAGCTTGGTTAGGTACGGTTACAAATATAATCTCATCACGGACACGGATTCACGGAATTGATGATCAACTGACATAAATTCATTGGACAGCTAGCTATTAAAAAGGAGATAGCTAAATAGATAATAGACAGAGAAGTTTGACCAGAATCTTCTTGACAAAGCACCTTAATTTGCAAGAATAATCATGCCCTCCAATTACGGGTTCAGCAAAACATCCTCCATTTAATTAGGAAATGGAAATACATCGACGTACGCTTGGCAATGGCATTATGGCAAGCCGATGTTAATGAAGAAACTGACATTATTAATCAATTAATTAATTATTATTGTATAATTTGAGGAGCTAGCTAGCTAGCGCCAATCTCTCGCACTCAAATGCATGTACAGAGTACAGACATGATGTATTCATTTCCCTCGTATATCTGTTAATTGGCTGGTCACAGCAAAAATAAGTGAGGAAGGCAAGGCATACATATATAATATATTAATTAATTTTCAAATAACAATAATAATAACACTAGATTACAGACCACTGGATTAAAGACCAAAACACATAATCAGAAACCTCTTATCCTATATTTCTTACATAATAGGTACGCCATGTTCACACATATATCCATCCATCGAATGTGTGACGAGGTAGGTGCGTACATGTCCAATTTTATAGTAGAAAATGACGAACTAATTATTAATTAAGGAAAATAAATAGGGTTCAGTGATATATATCAGTACTGATCAGGCCACAAGAATGCTCCGATTGCGTATGCCCTCTTTTGATCAAGGGTCCCTTGGAAAGCAAGCCCGTATTGCTTGAGAAGTAGGTCCACCTTCCACTCCTCCATCTTCTCATAGTCCGCCTTTGTGTAGCGAGGGTAATGAAGGGGCATCTGAAATCCTCCTGAGCCTGAACCTGAAGAATGCATTATTTCTGCACTCTTATTGGAGTAATTAGAAACCACCTTCTTCATCACATGACCTCCTCCTGAGTCTGAGTCTGAGCCCGAAGGATAATGATCTCCTTCAATATTATAACTAGGGTTAGGGTTGCCCATCACCCTATTAGAGTCTGAGTCGACCTTTGGGTACAGTAAAACATGGCAAGCTGAATGAAGAAGCCAACTCAAAGCTGCAGCCATCTCTCTCTTTTTTTTTCTTTCTTCTGATCTCTCTCAATCTCAAGCTAAAACGAGAGAAAGAGAGAGATTCAAAGGAAGAGGAAATTATTAGGATATATAGTATCAATCAAGCAATTGATATTTGATCTGCAGCAAGTTTATAGTGGCTTAAGCCTGTATTTATAGGCCTTCAATATATAAAAACTGCCTAATATGACATTCGTTGGAGTGGTCCATACGATACGATACGATATTTTAATTTAATAATAAAAGGGTTTGAAATTTAGTCGAGCGCTGCAAATCATAGTCATCATCATGATGTATTAATATTCATTCATGTACATACAGATGGCTATTTTGGGTGCCAACAACATCAACATATATAATATATATAGATATAGAGGAATTAATAGGATACTCAACTTGTTTGAGGAGTGGTTATTAGTCACTTTTCTTATATAATGGAAAATAGCAACAATGATTGAGTTGCGTATTAACACATCATCCCTTCCCCAGCTTCACATTAATTATATATCTTCAATAATATGCCAAGTGGCTTTCTTTCTACCTAAGATTTCATGACCCCTTTAATTTTGCTAATTGGATTCTCTTACATGATTGGCTCAACACCACAAAAATTAGAATTTAGAAAGGCCCTATCTAAGATAAGATAAGGGCGTCATTAACGGGCTGTTTTCTTTTTTCTTTCTTCTTTTATTTTTTTGATTAGGTCGTATTCTAATGAGGTTGCTTGTGCCCGAATCAAAAGTTTATACTAATGATTTTGCAATCAATATATGCCAAGTTTTGTTGCCTGAAATCGGCGTTGCGTGACACGGTTCTATGACTTGAGATGAAGATGATCCCACGGGCACGGCCATCTGTAATTACATAATTACATTGTCAGAAGAAAACAGACACGACTGCTTAAGCATAACTCGTTGAGTCAAGCGGCCGACAATCAATAAGCCAGAGAGGAGAGAGAGAGATGTCATCGATTAATGAATTTGATGCAGAGCAGATTCAACTTGTATACCACTTAAAACGTAGAGAGATAGAGACCCAACAACATGTTACATATATATATATATATCATAGTTACCATAAATGGATGCAGTAAATTAATACGCGGCAAGTGCGAGCTTGGTTAGGTGAATGATGTCCAATTACTACTTCTGGTTCAGCTAGCCTAGCACCAGCACCAGCAGTAAGTATAATACTAATTAACTATGAATCAATCACTTCAGCTGTGATAAAAACAACTTCATTAAGATAATGTGGGATGCGACTGAGGACGTGGACGGTGGATGAAAAGCCAGCCAGCCAGCCGGGCCCAGCAGCAGAGCAGCTGCAGCCTGCATGCATGCATGATGCATGCTCCCCTGCTCTAAGGTTTTCGGTTTTGGCGGCTCTTTCACATAATTAAAGTAGCCTAATTGTCAATCATGTTGTAGCTGACCTTGACCCCTACTACTAGTGGTTCACATTCAAATTCAATATCCATGTATATCACTGCCTGCCTCTGCCTGTGATCTTCTTTTTCGTTTGCTGCCTCAAGTTATAATCTATTCTAGGTAGCTAGCTATAGGCTTAGATCTAACCAGGTCTTAACTCTCTTAGCATAATGAAGTTGCTGGCCATGGCCCATGGGGTGCAATTTCTTCTTGGGAAATCCGAGGCTGATATCCTTCTTTATTGTGTTTGTGTGTTTCCACACACTGTAAATGCACCAACTGCTTTTAGGACCAGTAATTTATTACTTATATTACTGAGGAGGAGGAGGAGGAGAGGAGGAGAGGTCATCAGGAATCAATCCTGATTTTGCTGCTGGTTCCTAAAGCTTTATTTGTTGGACTTTTCATTATATATCACATTTATCATCGTGACATTCGACTTCAATATTGAATCACGCCAAAAAGATAACTTCAATATCGAATTCCTAAGCTTTTCTTAACATGCACATATATATAGTCCAAACTTTGACCCAAAATAAAATAAAATGCCTTTTCCTTCTTTTCTTTTTTAATTCCAAAATAATCTTCTTCTTTTTTCTTTTTTTTTTTCAACTTTTCAAACCCGGCCTTGTGTAGTTCTGGAATATGGAAAATTCATTGGGACATAGCCACATAAGTAGGTACGCTAGCTGCAGTCAACGATTCAACAACTTTCCCATGCAAAAACCCAAAAGCAATGTCAGTTCTGTAATACATTTCACATTGAAGTCCAATTTCGAATGAATGTAAATTAATGTCTTCGAGCTATATATATTATATTATATAGCTTTGCTCCCTCCCTTCCCTTATTAGATTCAAGTTTCTTCCGCATCAGATTTGCTGAGCTATGGACCACCACCACCGCCTTCTTCTTTGGCTCTTAAACAACGCATGCACAGTGGCTAGCTATATTTCTCTCTGAAAGAGTGAGTGAGGTTCATATATATATATACTTTGTTAGTTTCCCCCCATTAAGATGCATGCATGCTTTTACCTGCTATTTTCTTTTCTGGTATGAAATATTTGTTGACGTGCAGCTTAGCTAGCTGAAAGCATAGATACTACATCGAAGCAAGCAACTGATCATCCGTGATGAGATTGAGAGGTGTACTGATGAATGGCTGCAGCAGGAGACTTTTCATAGCTAATTCTGTGGCCCTGATCATCATCTGTTTCGGTTTTACTATGATGCTTATTGCTTTGTTCTTCGGTACGTATATTATATATAAAAGTTTCATTTTTTTGGCAACAGTGATCGTTTCCCTACACCCACCATAACTCTGTTTTGGAAGCTACTTTTTAGTTTCCAGATGAAATTGCACGCCCTCATTGCCATGGTGCTGGATCTAGATTCTAGAGTCTAGACGATACAAATAATTATATCATTTTTGATCATTTGTTTATGGGATGTGTTAATCTCATTCATATCATTTGATCTTCAAAGTACTTTCCTCATGTCAAGACCGATTCCGTTCTAATATAATGAATCCGTTTCTCGAAATGCAGTGATTGATCATTTGGGAAGTAGTGTTGGGGAAGCAGTTGGCATTAATACTAATAGGCTGGTCTTTTCCAATGAAAACCACACTGCAGGCCTAGGTCATCGGAAGCTATTGCAGTCAACTGGTGGTAATACTAATATTTAAGCCTATGGCTACTCTACTCTTATTAATCTTTGACCTCCTTTCCTTCGAATTTGCTTTACTATTTTTCGAATTTGCCATGTGTGTCAGTGTAACTCTCTCTTTAGCTACGTAGTACACTTTGACTTGATGAATAATTGTCTAGATTGCCTAGACAAGGTAAGACTTGATTATTATAATCAGAAAGCTAGAGCCTAGACATGAATTTTGCTTTGACATGATTGGGCCTTCAAATTTCTCAAGATCATTATAATCCATAATGATCATGTGGGCTGTGGGTGGTTGGTTTTGAACCATCTGATTCTGATTCATTTCTGCCCCAACATTAATCTGCCAAGTCTGACTCCAGCACAATGCCAGGTGTTAGAAAGAATGTGATGGACTTGTGTCCAGAATTGCTATGGAAGCCTTTTATTACTAACCCTCTAGGTAAGGAGGCCTAGGCAAATGCTTGATTGGGTTCAATTTTTAGGTGTAAGAGGACGTGGTTAACGTGTCTAGCCTCACATCAGTGTAGTTTAATTAATTTGGGACAGTAATAATAATGTGCAGTAAGTTAGAAAACTTAACTAATGATGTGCATGCAGATGCAGATGATGATGGAGGAGGAGACATGAATCGTATTGGGGCAGCATGCTCAAAAGACGACATAGTGATATTGCAAGGCCAAACAGCCCCACTTCCCAATGGAATTCCAGCCTACACGGTTGAGATCCTGAACGCCTGCGTTTCGGGTTGCCGCATATCCAACATTCACGTCAGCTGTGGGTGGTTTAGCTCAGCCCGGCTGGTCAATCCAAAAGTGTTTAGACGCAAAGACTTTGATGACTGCCTAGTCAATGATGGTGAGGCTCTAGGCCCTGGAGAAACCCTCTCTTTCCAGTATGCCAACAGTTTCCGCTACCCTCTATCAGTTTCATCTGTAGTTTGCTGCTAAACTAACTAAAACCACCAACCAAGCTCCAAGCTAGCTAATATATAAATCTTTTGTTAAAAACAGAGGACTTGTTCTTATGCAATCATATTATATAATGCAATAAGTTTGCATGACTTTATAACTGAGTCTAGAGATATATAGCTCTCTTCAAAATGAAAATAAATAATTATCAGTTGCCAAACTTGGATAACAATAAGATTTCAAAGCAAAAATTAACTTTGGACTACTCCAAATTTGCGTTGCGTTGTGTCTAGAGAAACTGTAATAGGAAATGAACTTCCTAGTCGACATGCATCAAAAAGTCTCTTTACTTACATAATAGATATAGGGAATGAATCCACATTCAAATATATCAGTTCAATATCCATAATCATAAGTAAAATCAGAGACACCAACCATGGCTGTAACCACTTGGGATAGGATGAAGATACCGCCGGCTAATATTACCAACACCAGAATTGCAGAGATGGGGTTCTTCAACAACTCGTATATAGGCTGGAAGGTAGCGTACAGAGCACCTGTGCTCACTGTTAGAGCATAAAGTCCATATCTCCTAACATTGTCCCAAAACTCTTCCATCAGCGGCCCTTCAGGACCCAAAGCCATAGCTTTTTGCGCGTCCATCCCCATCAGAAACACCACAACTCCAACAGAAACAACTCCCATTATCAAATTCCTTGACCTCGACGACGAGGAGTTCCCACTGGCTTGTTCATGTTGTATAACTAAGGACTTGGATTTTCTAGCATATGCTAGTGTTGGCGGAAGGATACTTGTAGCTTCAGAAGGTAGAGATGATAATATTGTTGGATATGCAGGGTGTTTTTGTTGTGAAGTAGTGGGGATGAGAAATGAAGGATTTGAAGTCGAAGTTGCAAGATATTTGGTTGGGAGGTGGAATTGGGAGCTCAATGTAGACATTTTCATTTGCTCCCCCAACCTCTATCAAACACAACACAAGAGTGCTCTCTCACTGCTAAGTTCTATCTAACTGCTAAGCTAAGCTATCCCATTTATTATCCTTTTCAAATTTTCAATTGGGAGTTTGTGGACATCATTGCTTGGCCTTCTTATCTCTCTTTATTCAGGATAAGGGAAGGTCAAATTCAGTGTGGGAAGCTACCCTTCTCTTTTATAGCCTATCGTCTTTTGCCACACAGACACAGATCATGTCATCCTTCATCTGTCGAGATTTTAGCAATATTTGATTCAACTCCATGCACATAGGATAGGAGTGATTTTAGTTTCACTGATAAAATTCATACCCAAAAAAAAAAAAAAAGAACAAAAGATTGAGGATGGGATACTCACCCTCAATTCACTTACTTTTATTATTTATTTCCTTTTTTGGGTCAGCTTAATTCACTTAATTTTATTTTTTCACTCATTTTCTTATGTGGCATTAAACTTTTTCTCAAATATAAACTTACCAAACATAAAAAAGTAAATAATTCACAAACTCATTTTCCCACAAAACAAACGCGTCCTTAATTCACTTACCTTTTTCTTTTATTTATTTATTTATTTTGGGTACTAAGTACCACGTGTCCAAAGAAGGCCGCAATTGAAACGTACAAGAATAGCCTCCCACAAATCTCACAATTCCGAGGCTACCCTCCCCATTTTGCTCCACTTCTCTCCCTCACCAGATGTCATGGGCTGCCTTGGTCCCCAAGCTCTGCAAGCCCTGACTCAAGTCCTGGCGCCCCCTTTTCTCTTCCTCTCTAAACATTAGGTCATTCAGTCGCTTCTTTGAAGTTCCATAGACATTTGACGACCTATTCTCTGCTCTCTGTCTCCTCCCATGCCGTTTCAACCAAAGCTCACTCTTTTTCTGCTCCGCTTCAACTACTGAAAAACCCCACCTTTTGTTTCTTTCTTTTTCGCTTTTTGGGGCTTCTTCGTCATCCTCATGCTTATAGACAAAGGGTTCCCTCGCTAGTCATACGGTCATCGTTAATGCCATTTCAGTCTCCTGCTTGTTCCCCTTGCCTTTGAAGCCAAGCTGAGTGATAGACCCAGTTCTTTTTTTTGAATTGGGTCTAGGTTTTAGAACCCTAGTTCTCTCTCCCTTTCACTTTTGGCCAGTTTTGTTCACTTTGCCCCATACGCACTTCCTTGGAGGCTGTTTGGCTCCAAGAATTTCCGCCTCTTGAGGTGACTAGCAACGGTAGGTTTCTCTTTTATACCGGTTTTTTTTTTTTTTTCAATTTAATTTTTATTTATTTATAATTTACTTTAATTTTTCTTGAATGGGATTGAATTTTATGAGAACCCATGTTCTCAGTTAGGGTTTCATAGTCAACTGAGTTGGTTATTTGAGTTCCAAAAAGCTCATCACTGGTAAACTTTGGAATTTTCAGGTAATGTGATAAAGGGGGCTTCTTCTGTCATTTTGGGGCTCCCTAAATGATATGATGATGACGAATACTCATAGCTTTGTGTCGTGGGAGGAACACACTTTGTGTCAAGAGCGTGGTAACCGTGTTGTCCATTATTACTTGAAGGAGGCATCAGGGGAATTTGTCCTTGCTGTTATAGGGACTGAGAGGAGTATAAGGCACATGATGTATGTTGTTTCAGAGGAGTTCGTGGAGACTTATGGGTCCAAGGGATTCATTAATGCGTGTACCAAATGGAGAGCAAGAAGAGAAGTTGTAGAATGGCTTACTTCCTTGGTCTCGAGGCCTAGCTGGTCAGAGGTTTCAAGTACGTTATGTTATCATATCGAATTTTTCAGGTTCCTTTCATGGTATTTTGAGTAATATTGGATATTTATGTTAAATAATATTGTCCTTTGTTGTGATTTTTAATTGGATTTAAACTTATGAATACAGGTTATGATAAGCATTGCCTCAATGTACTGTTAGACTAGAATATCAATATAGAAGAAGAGTAGCACTTGACATACCAGGTTTAGGATAAGAATTTAATGCATGGTTATGCATTTGTTAGGGGTGGCGATCTCCTATGCAAAGTGAAAATCGGAGATATTTGTGACATAGCATTATCTCATCTTTTTGTTGAATTGATGTAATTTTCTCAGTCTTGGGAAAGCAGTCGTGGGTTCCTCTGACATTGCATCCTTTATCTTCTTCTTTAGAATCATGAATTTTAAATTTTTTAGATCAATTATCATAATCCTTTAGTTAAAAATGGACTCAAACGTATTCTAGAAGTTTGAAATTAGCATTACCCTAAGAAGTCTCACAAAGTTGTATATTTTAGGAATATAATGCAAAGTTGTATATTACTTTTGTTTCATGTTGTTTTGAATCAAAGGTGTATAATTGAATAAAATTTTCTCATCCAGAACTTCTTTATTTCAGCTTGTTGTAGCCTCAGAAGCTGTGTAACTTTATATTAGTTTGTCTACAACTTTGATATACATACCAGTTGAGCTATCCACAGCTCTCACTTCAGCTGTAATCCCCTACCAAATTCTACGTGCATATCTACTGCACAAGCATCCAAGAGTAATTCTGTTTGGTTATGTAATGTGACAAATTTGTTTCTGTTCAAAATTTATTCATGTCTGTCACCCCACTAAATGTTCGAAATCTGAACATATTTGGAATCTCAATTTGAGATGATATCTGTCTATAATCCTCCCCATATCTATTGCACTCATGTTCTCTAATTTGTAGGTTAGATTCTGTAGTGTTCGAGCATGCATGTGCGTGTGTGCGCGTGCACGCCCATGTGCATGTGCGCTTCACATGTGAAATGTAGAGTATAACTATTCTATTGAATTTTGAACATGTACAAGGTGAATTCTTCTGTTTATGGTTGTGAATTATTTGAATTGTGAGATGTTTTAAACTTTTAAAATGTATGGAGTCGTTTTTATGAATAAATAATTTATTGGAGATTTGTAGGTTGAATTGTGATCTTAAATAAATTGCTTTGATAGTAGGCTTTAATTATGTGATGCATATAATATCGAGAATCAATAACGTAAGAGAGACGGCACGGTGATACTTATTTTTCAAGAGAAAAAAATATGGGCATCAAGGGAGGGCAAGAGTATTGAAATAAGGGAAAAAGGGTAATTATGTCCAACAAACTGTTGTACGACATTCCTACTTTTATGTATGAATTTTTTTCATGTAATTTATCTGATTGGGGTTGGAGGCCATGCTTGAACCTGCCTTTGAAATTCTTGTAGTAACCTATTTTAACGTATAAAGCAATGTGTTTTGCCGGTGCTAGTTTCTCTCTAGTAATGTAGTTTGAAGCTCATGTTTATCCCATATAAGGGATGGTTTAAGTATTGAAGAAAGGGGTAAAGATGATAATGAAATGAACTTATTCTTTGAAACAATTTAGTTTTAATATGTAAGGGTATTTTTGTCCAAAAACTGTTTTACGACATTCCCACTTTTATTTATAGCAAAAGACATTTCTACTTTTATATATAGAAAATATATTTTCTTTGCTTTAGTGAGGCAATTTCTTTTGAATCATATATCTTATTGAAGGTTGGGAAGCATCCTTGAACGTGCCTTTGAAATTCATACAATAATCGGTTTTAGCGTACCAAAGCATCGTGTTTCTCCATTGATGAGTTTTTCTTTAGGAACGTAATTCTAAACACATGATGTAGATAGTAGTTTTGGAATCAAGTAAAGCCATTCTTAACCAAATCTAGTAAGTTTTTCATTAGGATTGTAGAATCATCAGAGAATATTTGGGTTGGATACATGAGTCCTTTCTTATTAATCTACAATCATTAGAAAATTTTAACCTGCTTTTACCCTTTTTCATTTCTGTTATAAGAATAGAGGGAGTATTCCAGCCTACCTTTTCTCCAACAAATTAAATTTATTTTGGATTTGCACTCAAGAAAAAGTCAACTCAATTCTATATGTTAGTGGTTGCCTAAGTAACTGGATTTCTTTTGATAAACAGAAAATCCAACTTTTTGTAAAGAAATATGCAAGCCAATTATATTTCAGCATCTTTCCAAAAAGGAGAGGCTGGCTATTATGTGTCTCTGTATGGTCATTGTTTTATGAGCTCTTTCTGCCAGCTTGTTCTCCTGTCACATTAAACATCCTTGCCTTCTACTTCTTCAATTCTCACAAATCCACTGCACCCACTTAAGGAAGGAGAAAGAGGGGGAGAGGGAGTGAGTGAGTGAGTGAGAGAGAGAAAGAGGGGGAACTAGTATGAGTTCGTCGACGGGATTTTGGACCTCTAATGATAGAATGGGTACCATGTCGTACCTTAAATCTCACGCCTATCAATTACTCTTTCTTCAAGCTTTGTAGTATCTTTTCCTTGTTTATCATGTCCTTACCTGTTTTGATTTTGATGCATGATTTGAGTGCTTGTTGAACATTTTGGAATTATACTTTGATGCGAATTCTTCTCTCTGTTTTTTTTTTTTGGGGCCAGGGAAGGGAGGGGCACGCGGGATGAGTCTTAAATCCCTAATTTAGTGACCTTTGCTTTCTTACCTGTTGAATTTTGAAATTTTGGAAGATTTTAGTTCATATCAATAGTTTATTTGTTTAAACCCATAGGAATTCAGAATCTTTGTGTGGAGTCGTTGCTTCTGTTGCGGAGACTAGTATCATACGACATGGTATGCTGGGTAGCCGTAGACATTGCTATTTACGTTGAAACTTATTCCTGGATTGAGTCAACATGTGAAATTTCTGATTAGGAGAAATGGAATATATTTTCTTCCATTAATTCTGTTGCTTTCCTATTTTGGTTTAGTAATCTAATTTGTCAACGTCTGGGTATTCCATGAGAGTTTTCAATTAAAGTGGTAACCTTAAATGGAAGCATTAAGTTATTTAGGTCATTATAGGGTGGTATAATGATTTCTCATATTTGAAGTTTTTTGGTCTTTTTAGGTTATAATCTATTTAGGTATCAATATTATGAAATTAATATTTTGTTCACCTCATTCATGGATTATTAAACAAAGTTGAGAAAGCTGGCTGTTTAAACACCTTTCTTTCTAATTTATCTTTACCAGGAATTCATGTTTAATCTTAATTTTTGGAGTCAAACACAATGCCTTGAAAGATCTTTTTAGTTTTAATTTAGTTATTTCCAATCTTATCATGAGCCATATGTTACCATAAGCCATCATGACTATCTACTCTGTGTGCACCGCTGCCCATAAGAAAGCAAAAAATATATGATGATGAAATGGAATTTTGGGGGTACCTGTTGATATTCGGTGTAAGTTGTTGGTGTAGATGAAAATATGGTAAGATGTTCTTATATTCAGTCCATTCTCATTTAGAAAATTCATAAAGATGGGCAGCCTGCTATGGGCGAAATCCTTCTTATGGATTGAAAATTTTCTGCTGACTAGTAAATATTGGAAAGCATACCATTAAATGGTACTTTGTCACTTGTTGGTATGCTTTTTTATTTTATTTTTTTTACTGTTGAGTTTTCAAAGCGTCAAGAACAGTAATTATGGCATTACTCCTGAATGCATGCATGGTCTTTTGTCACGTTTGTCTCTACTCATACTTATTTGAGTTTGTATTATAAGTTTAAACAAACTTATTCTTCCTATAGCAGATTCACCAACAGATGAAACAGCACAAGCATTATCAATTACTGGCTTTTGTGCTCATCAAACTTATCTGCCAGATCAGATGGTATTCACATACTGTCTTTTGCTAAGTCTGGGTTTTGGGTTCTTAGGAAAGTTTTACTAAGTAATCTCCATTTCTTATCCAGGTTCCAAGGAAATTGAAAGTTCACAATTCAGACATTGAATGGTCTGGTGTTGCCTGGAGTTGTGCCAAACAGCTCAAGCACTACCCAGCATTTTGCAGGAATGGAGCTACCATTTCTGTAAGCGTCAACTGATATCTACCTTTTTTAGTTGTATGTGTTATTATTTCTACATTTAGTGGTGCTCTTTCTTTTCTTCAGTAGCATCTCTTTAATTTTCATAGAGATCTTCTGTAATGTTTATTCTTGTGGCCCTGATTTTCAGGTCCATTCTTTTGTGTTTATAATGGCGTTAGAAGAACACCACTACCTTGGTTACTTGGAAGACATGTATGAAGACAAGAAGGGGCAGAAAAAGGTTAAAGTGCGTTGGTTTCACCACACTCAGGAAGTCAAGGATGTAGTTCCTCATCTAAATCCACACCCCAGAGAAGTTTTTATCACACCTCATGTTCAGGTGATCAGTGCTGAGTGTGTTGATGGTCCTGCAACAGTTTTGACTCCTAAGCACTACGAGAAATGCTTGGCTATTGTTGCTCATAATTCTTCATCTGGAATCCATATGTGCTTTCGGCAACTTAAGAACCATATGGTTAGACCCTTCAGTCTTGCTAAATTGCGGGGTTATTCTAATCAAGCAATTCTCTCTTCTTTAGATGTCCACAATGTCTCCAAGCAAAAAGCCAAGTGCCATAAATTATGTGATGAAGATGAGGAAGAGGAAGAGTTAGCACCTGATGATCCTCTGAGGATTAGCTGTAAGAGAAATAGAAGCAGCAAGGGGAGTCAGGGACGTTCTGGAGTTAAAAATTTGGTCACTGGGAATAATCCACCAAATTGCGTTCCAACATACCCAAAGTTGAAATTAAAATTATCTAGGAAGGCAATTGGAGTTAAGATTGCTGGATCTGAGCCCCAATGTCCAATGTCTTTTAAGGTTGATGAGAAGATAGAGTTGCTCTGTCAAGATAGTGGCATGCGAGGATGTTGGTTTAGGTGTCAGGTCTTGCGGACATCTCAGAAGCTTCTCAAAGTTCAATATGATGATGTGCAAGATGTAGATGGATCTGGCAATCTAGAGGTATGTGATCCTCTAGAAATCTTTATTTGAATTCTTCTCTGGCCTCATAATGGCAAGAGTTGAGCATGGATAAACATTTGGTGATCTATAACCTTTGTCTGCATTGCCTCAGAAATAGATCTGATCTGAAGGCACTTTTTTTTATATAGCTTGGTTGCTATTCATCTTTGCAAGTGTTTGAGTAGATGATCTGCATGAGTTGAAATAATGACATTGGTGATTGTTGGTCTTACTACTATCAAACAAATTGCCTATAATAACATCAACATTGTGTTCTAGCATTTGTATTTTCAAGAAATGTTTTGTCTGTATGTTTTTCTTTTTATAATTGGCTTGTTTAAGCAAACTAATCACAAAGGAATTCAGATCTCCACAATTTTTTTTGTTAATGTGTAGGAATGGCTCCCTGCATTTAGAGTTGCTGCTCCTGATAAACTGGGCATGAGATGCTCAGGCCGCCTGACAATCCGACCCTGTTGTCCTAATGATTCTACAGAGTGTACTTTTGATGTTGGAGTACCAGTTGATGCATGGTGGTGTGATGGCTGGTGGGAAGGTGTTGTTACTGGAGTTAACATTTCAGGAACTGATACTCTACAAGTCTACTTCCCTGGTATGAGATTTTTTGTATTTTATTTTAAGTTAAGTTTCTTACCTTTCACAGAGTGCATTGCTAGTTGACTTGAACTTCTGATCCAGCTGGTAAAATGTGTTATCTGATTTTCTGATAAATTTATCACGATGAGTGATGTTTCTTTCAATGTATACTAGGTGAGGAGAAGCTTATGATTTTCCAGAGAAAGGATGTTAGGGCTTCCAGAGACTGGGTTGAGAACACATGGGTTGATGTGAAGGCAAAGCCTGATATTCTCTTACATATATCTGAAAATATCAGTTCTAGCATGAAGCTTTTAACAATCTCTGCTAGTTCTATGGCAGAAGAAAAACAGAAATTACCAGATTTATCCCCACCTGATGATGTATTTGGAAATGTGAAGAGGGTGAATCTGAGGAAGCGGCCTTGTACCAGTAATGAGGATGAAAAGAACAATTCTAGTGGCGGCGATGGCGGTGATGATGGTACTTGCAACAAGGATGAATTGATTTATAAGGAAGAAGTTGATCCTGCCTATGAGAAATCTGAAACACCGGGAGCCACAGAAATGGCTGCTCAGGGCTGAGGTGGAGATTTTTTTTACTTTTGACCATAGGATCCTGGAAGGTTGGGTTCATTGTTCTTGTAGATAAGATGAACTGTCGGGAATAGGGAATCTAGATATGCAAAGTACTATTATCAAGTTTCTAACATCATGAGAATTGGCAGGTGTACAGCTATATATCTGATAGGTTTAAGTTTATCGAGTTCAACAAGTGCTCAAGTAAATGTAATCTGATGGTCATCAGGTTAGGCAGTAGCAGCTCAACTCACTCTTAGTAGTAATTAGTGTGTGCTTTTGCACCCATGCATGAGCGGTGAACTTTTAAAAATTTCCCTTTGTATCTTAATGGTATCTTTTAAGTATAGTTTCTTTCAGTCTTTAGTTTTTTTTGTTAATGTGTAGGAATGGCTCCCTGCGTTTAGAGTTGCTGCTCCTGATAAACTGGGCATGAGATGCTCAGGCCGCCTGACAATCCGACCCTGTTGTCCTAATGATTCTACAGAGTGTACTTTTGATGTTGGAGTACCAGTTGATGCATGGTGGTGTGATGGCTGGTGGGAAGGTGTTGTTACTGGAGTTAACATTTCAGGAACTGATACTCTACAAGTCTACTTCCCTGGTATGAGATTTTTTGTATTTTATTTTAAGTTAAGTTTCTTACCTTTCACAGAGTGCATTGCTAGTTGACTTGAACTTCTGATCCAGCTGGTAAAATGTGTTATCTGATTTTCTGATAAATTTATCACGATGAGTGATGTTTCTTTCAATGTATACTAGGTGAGGAGAAGCTTATGATTTTCCAGAGAAAGGATGTTAGGGCTTCCAGAGACTGGGTTGAGAACACATGGGTTGATGTGAAGGCAAAGCCTGATATTCTCTTACATATATCTGAAAATATCAGTTCTAGCATGAAGCTTTTAACAATCTCTGCTAGTTCTATGGCAGAAGAAAAACAGAAATTACCAGATTTATCCCCACCTGATGATGTATTTGGAAATGTGAAGAGGGTGAATTTGAGGAAGCGGCCTTGTACCAGTAATGAGGATGAAAAGAACAATTCTAGTGGCGGCGATGGCGGTGATGATGGTACTTGCAACAAGGATGAATTGATTTATAAGGAAGAAGTTGATCCTGCCTATGAGAAATCTGAAACACCGGGAGCCACAGAAATGGCTTCTCAGGGCTGAGGTGGAGATTTTTTTTACTTTTGACCATAGGATCCTGGAAGGTTGGGTTCATTGTTCTTGTAGATAAGATGAACTGTCGGGAATAGGGAATCTAGATATGCAAAGTACTATTATCAAGTTTCTAACATCATGAGAATTGGCAGGTGTACAGCTATATATCTGATAGGTTTAAGTTTATCGAGTTCAACAAGTGCTCAAGTAAATGTAATCTGATGGTCATCAGGTTAGGCAGTAGCAGCTCAACTCACTCTTAGTAGTAATTAGTGTGTGCTTTTGCACCCATGCATGAGCGGTGAACTTTTAAAAATTTCCCTTTGTATCTTAATGGTATCTTTTAAGTATAGTTTCTTTCAGTCTTTAGATTTAATTGTAAAGCTTATAAAGGTATTGCTTTCTAAACAACTTTTATTCAAGAATAGGATTCGGATCGGATGTAGTTGATGTTAATCATCTTCGTCTCAGTATTAAGGAGTGATATGGTATCATTGATTCTCCTTTTCATTTATTTTTTTATTAGTTTTTCTTGCAATAGTAGTTTTGATTTGAGAATTAAAAGCTCACTTCTTTTCACAAATGACACAATTGTGTATTTGTTCAATTTTTATCAATGTATCTGTTTTTTGTTGTTTTTAAGAGTCAATTTTATACTATATTTATTTGAACTTTATTTTTCCTTACCCCTTGTATATCCTTAAGCCTTTCACTCGACTACTTTTGTTTAGTTTCAGTAGGTTTTCATACTACATTTCATTTTCAAATGGTTTTTCCAAGGCTCTGTACTCGCATGACATGACCATTTAAACCTAGGAAACGAGAGACTGCCAGTAGGCATCTTGGACATCGTAATACATCCGTATTTTGGATCAAAAGAAAGAAGGCTTGATTAAATTGCGCTTATATTTCATATTTTTCTGTAATGATATTATAACATGGTAACTAAGCAATTTTGAAATGGAAAGGCGAGGATATAGCAGCAGCATTTGCAATTTTGTTATTTCTCTGGAACAAAACTGATACAAATCCAAACAATTTACAACAAAAACAACATGAAGCCCGAAATGGTATCTATTATCAAGGCTGAGTGATCCCCTTTTTCACGAGCATGTCATAAACCCTGTCGATTTTACTAGGTTCAATCTTGAACAAGTGATGGACATCTGATTTTTTACTGGCATTGCCGCTGAAGATTTCAATTGAAATAACTTCTTGCATCTTGAGGAAAACAGGTGGTGGTAACCTAATCTCGCTGCAGAGACGTTTCTCCTGCCATGGGACAAAAAGTAGATTGCTTCAGAAAAAGGCTTTGTACAAGTACAAAAGTCACATAGGTTAGAAATCAAAGTACATTGGCTTTGTATCCAGTCCTACAAGTAATATCTAATAGTTTGATGACTCAGCATCCAGTACCACGTCACATCCAGAAAAAGGAAAAACCATATTATGAAAACTATATATTTGGATTAATTTTGGCTGGACAGATGCAATCCAGCCAAGTTAGAGATCGCTTCTTCTTGACTGGTAAACCCTAGGAACACAGTGAACAACCAGAATTGTGTCCTTATGCTTACTTGTTGACATACTAGGAAGTTATTAATGAATACTTACAGCTTCAGACAGTAAATCTGATCCATAAAATCCCATTATATCCATATCACTGGCAGAGCTTGAAGTAGCCTGTCCAGCTGGCCTTGAGTTTGAGTCCTTGTCAACAGACTCTGAGGACACAAACAAATTTGGACCTCCCTGACTGCTCGGACCAACTTGCCCACTTTCCTTTGCTCTGCGAGCATTTTCTTCAGCATCCTTTTTCCGTTTATGCTCAAGATATCTATCTGCCTCGGCCGATGTACGGCAACCAGCAGCTCGGGCTTCCTGCATGATTATATTACAAGATTCGTGGAAGGAAACAACAAAGCAATACCCATGTGTGTGCATTGTAAATATATCAGACAACTGCTCATAGATTTAAAGAGTATGATAATCTAAGGGGAAAAGGCAACCAACAATTGGACACAAAATCGACACCATGCATCCTAACTTTTAAGATTAAACATGCATGTTTACAGTTTGAAAGGAAAGACATGGCACCTCTACATGAAATGTTTTTGGTTATGTGCGATTTGAGAACTGAAATTAGTTCTGGCATATGCTTATGGACAATATATTCCAATTGGTAACTGAAAAATGGATAAGCGTCCAAGAGCATTTTGCTCTCAAATAAGATAACGGAATCAAGTAAATATAGAAGTCCAAAGTCAGCCAAGTATCATACCTTAAGTTCTTGAATTCTTTTCATAGTCCGATGCTCCGCAATAACAGTCTGAAGTAATTCTTCATGCTCTTCCTTGGAATGGAAGCACATGAAGACATCATAACGTCGACATATCGCCCTTTCTTCAGGCAATAGGTCCTTCTCAAAAGGATTAGGATATAATAAATTTCTTTCTAGTATGAAATCCTTTCTACGCTTCCTCTCATCAAGTCTGCGAACAAGTTTATCCTCATGAAGGTCAAAACAATCAATAGCTTTAAGCAAAAATTGTTGTGTTAGATCTCATGTTATATTGCTACTTGGTATATATACAAAACCTCAATGTAGATCAAAAGTACAAAAAGAAATTCAGCAAAACAAGATTTCTTTCTTAACCCAAAAAGAGGAAATTGAAACAGAAAAAGAAGCCACATAAAACAGAATCCTCATCCATTGCAATTTGCATTAATGACTAAATTCCTTTTTTTTTAATCAATTTACTTTTCTTCACTTATTCCTAATTTGGTCTGCGTTTTGCCTACTTCAAGTTCCAAAAAATAAATGAATTATAATACTAATCTAGGTATAAATATGTACCAAAATCAACTTAGCGAGCTACCTTTTTGAATAGATTCGCAACACTCTTAACTTCAGATCACGCTCATCCTCAGTGTCAGTATCCTTAAATTCCATGTCCGCCAATAGCTGCTCAGAATCATTATCATATTCGGGATCGAACTCCTGCCTTTTGACGTTATAACCACTCAACTCGACTAAAGAAGGGCCCGCACTCCCCAAAGAACTTGGTTTCTTCCCTTTTCTATCTGCTTGAGGTTCTGCCATAAGCAATAGAAACAAAATTAGATAACCTATTACCAGTAAATTATGGATCCCACCCCAATTCTTGTAACTTCTTAATATTCATTTAGTAGATGACTAGAAGTTTGTGATGTACACAGGATAAATTATTCTTGTGTTGTCAAAATTAACACCAGTCAATGGATTTACCTGAAAACACAAACACACACACACAGAGTACAACCATCATTGCTTCAGCCATAGTGTTTAAACTTGTGTCAGATTTTGTTAGGACTTGACCCAAAAAAAAAAACAACATGCTAGTTGCAATCTATTGGTGAAAATTTTGTATCACCTTCCACTTTAATGACACCAGGACCATCTTTAACCTGGGCCATGTTGGATGGCTTCTTGTTACCAGCTGCTGCTGCCACACTTGCACCACTAGAGCGAAGTCCAGATTCTGCATCTGAAGTATAAGAAAGAAAGGAATAAACCTGAGAAACGTCCAAGATCATCTATATTTGATCAATCATAAACAGGGAGTCAAGAATAGATCTTATCTGACCAGTATTGATGCTAGACAGTAAACGGCTAGAATGGCCACCTTTGTGCATATCTTCCGCTCTGAGTAAATCAAGAAGATTCCCATTAAAATGTACCATATGTGTACTAATAGTCTAATATCATTATTTTGTGGGAATGATGACCATACTTGGTTCTTGAAGGAGAAAATGGAGATTCCTCCTTCAAACTATGATCCCCCAGCATAGGAAATCCTACAACAGTCACAAGTATTTGATAATAAGAAAAACTAACACTAAGAAGAATAAAATGAAAGAGAATATAACCAAAACAACCAGAAGTCATACATAAACTACAAAGTATGGGCCGCCTAATTCACGAAAATTCAATGTTCTTTGTTATTTTAAAAGAATATAAATATAGGGAAACTGAATGCAGGAAATTGATCTAGACTATGTCTTCCATGAGAATTATCATTATACTATGAGGAACAGTTCTATACATAGCATGGGAGACTAGAACTTTAATTGGGCAGAACAGAACATCAGCCAACATATATGCCTGTCTAAAAGTCCGGTATATGAAAATAACTTTGTTAATGCATGCTAACAGTTCAGAATGTAAGGAAACAGAGATACCAAACATTGAGAGGAAGTAATTATCACTAACCTTTCTTGTCCTCTCCATGCCCTTTAGCCATAGCAAGAAGCTCCTTTCTATTTTTTCCTTCTACATGAGACATGTCCTTGAACACAAACATTCCAGAACTTGATTATTTTTGTGAAAGGTTAAGATTGAAAGAGACCTGACTTGTTCAAAATGCATCATACCGGAACAGGAAAGCGCTGCGAGTTCAAATAAACATTTGTGTAGTGTTCTATACATTGTTCTTTACTCTTTGTCCCAACATGCTCAGCAACTTCAGCCCAGTTCCCCAATCCATACATTTCAGTTGCCTGCAATAAGGGAATTTATATAACAAAGATTGAAATTGGATACAAGTCAAATTTTACCCCCGAAGTCCAAATACATTGTTGAAAAGATAGAAAAAGGATCAGTAGCAACTTTATTTGAGGGATTAAAAACAAAACAAAGTACCTCCAGAAGCAGTATTTCATCATCTGCATTCCAGTCTGGGCAAATAAGCGGGAAAGATAAATCGTCCTGTTGAAAGGGAAATATATATATGTAATAAATAAATAAATAAAAACTTAAGTGCAAAGAGGGCTACATTTTATTGTCCAAAGTCACTAATTTAAAACATTGCATCATAACTGGATAAAACTAGACTAGCAACTTTATTGGCTGACAATCATAACATGTTAAAAAATAAATGATTGAGTGCACTTTCTATTTACCTTTGGAAAAGCATTTACAAACAGAGTTTCAGTTAGATATGATGAATATTTGTTGAAAGGGTAAGTCAAAAGAAAAAGTATTAGATGATAGCATTCCTCTCAACTTCATAGAGAAAAAGGATGCCTAACTTTAGTTTTTAGAGAATTGCTTAAACAGGGATAAGCTCATTTCTATGTTACACAACACTTGATTCACATAGTCTGCCAATAAATAAGAACCACAGAGGACTCTATTTAACAAGATATAAGAAAAATGAGACGGTTTCTTAATACTAACCATAACCCTGTAAGAGTGATTGCTTTTATGAGATGTCAGCTCAGCTCCAACAGAAAAACACTCTATACATAGGTCAAAATCAGGGCACATACAACACTTGATTCGGATCTTCCCCGTAATGTCTTTGTTGCAATAATTGCAGTGGTAAGCCCTTTTCCCTTCACTTGTTACCTGACCTGCGCCTGGAAATTTTGAAAGTTTAAAACAAAATTTAAGATGAAATAAAGAATGAATTAGAATGAATAATTATTTTTGGAGGCATATGTCAATAAACAAAGAGTGTAGAGTAATTCTTCCTTGACATGATTACAATATCATAATACCACTATAACAAGAAGTTGAAACAGCAAAAGTTATACAAACCATTTGCAATATCCCACTTTTAACAAATTCAATTCAGAACTACATGATGGTGTGAAAAGTACCTGCTGCTGAAGATTCTAAGTTTTCTCCAGTGGATGCATTCTTTTTTCTCCTTGATCTGCTTGATCAAAAGTTGGTATTCAGATAAAACTTCATATATGTCCCGAAAAGATAATGAAACATCAGTATGGTCCAAGTTATGAAAGATGGATGTTGAGTAAAGGATTCTGTCATAGGATAGGACACAGGCAGCCTGAAGGTCCCAATGGCAGAAAAAAAAATGTGAACTAAAATAAGACTAATAAAGAAAAAGTAAAGCAAAACGCATTTGTAGAATTATCACTTGCTAAGTGGGCTTGCCTGTATTTTCCGGGAAAATGAAAATCCCACAAGTCATGTGCGATTGACTAAAAGTTTAGGTAAGAATATGCAGTCCCTTTTTACATTACCCCGTTCTATACATTTTCCTGGTCATGAGCTAGCATATATGGGATTGGCTCTTCCAGTTGACTACACAGTTATTCTCCAGTATACCAGTTTAACAACTTATCGACGTTTTCATTCAGCAGAACCACACAATCAAAGCTCCAAAACGTACCCAAATGCAGATTTTGACCCCAAAATAAAAACACACAAAATAAAAATCCCTAACCACGCAAGGTTGAATGCATTTAACAACTTATCGACGTTTTCATTCAGCAGAACCACACAATCAAAGCTCCAAAACGTACCCAAATGCAGATTTTGACCCCCAAAATAAAAACACACAAAATAAAAATCCCTAACCACGCAAGGTTGAATGCAACTTTAACTAATAATTTACGGAAAAGAATAACATTTTAATTAAAACCAACTAAAACCTTTGAGTGGGGTCCTCATCAGAATGAAAGTTTCCACGAGAACGACCCATTGTTGATTCCTGAAGCTGAGCGAGCTCACGAGCAGCAGCACCTGCTTTAAGTGTGTCTGTTCAAACGCACTTATATAAACAAGAAGCACAACGACTTGGTATATCCATACAAGGACTTAAACCCCCAAACAATTTGAACTACTGTAATTGGGTTTGATAGTTTTTCGAATGGGGATCAACGGGTCAGTTCAGAAATTCAGACATTTGTGAGATTTTCTCTCCTTTCTGAAGATTTAGGTATTCGGGTTTTTGTGTGTCATAAATGATCAAGCTTTTAGGGGCAGCATATATTGTCTGTTTTTGAATTTTTCTGTAAACTGACTACGACTCTACTGCACTAATTTACTGGGAGGACAAGAGACCCCGAGCTTGGGGTTTTTATTTGGGGTACTTCGGTTTGTGTTTGTTTGGAAAGAAAATGATGTTTGCCGGACAAGAAAATAAGAAGTTTTATTTGGTCTGAAAGAAAAAACTCAGATGAATATTAGAGATGGACTTGATTTGGGCCGAGCGGTTTTGAACAGTAAGTAACTGGGTTTGTCAGTTTTGGATGCTGAACTTGTCCATTTCGCTTGGAGTGGATTGGTCCTCAAGAACAACTTTTTTTGTTGTAAAATCCTTAAACGACCGCGGATATTAAATATACGGATCCCGAATTTCTATATTTGACATCAGTGCATTAACGAGCATTTAAAAAAATCTTAATCATTTAATTAATGTAATAAAGTTTATTTATGTAAGTCGACATACATAATTAAACTAATATAATTAATGCTAACCTTTTATATTGTATCATTTATCATTCCCTATCTTAAATGAGATCTGTTTTTTTTTAACTTTGTTTTAATCAACACCCTATTTTTTATTTTTGGGTAAATACCACAAGGTGTCCCCACGTCCTAATTTTCATCTAACTCCAACACAGTTTTTTTCCCATGTTAGATTAAAAAATGGTGAATTTATTTTATAATCTAATATAGCTAACATGAAATAGATTAATCAAGTGGTTAAGATTTTTTTAATGTAGATCACAAGTATTTTCAAGTGTACGTAAAAATAGAAAAAAGATCTATTCTTTGCGAATTAGATTTATACTTTGAACAATTTTAGAAAAGAATTGGACAGCGAAACCAAATATTTGGAGACGCGAAATTACTATCCACCACATATTCAGTGCACAGATCTAAGCGAACACCACCGAGACGACACGCCGTTTGATGTCTAAGGCTGGCAATGGTATTACCGTAATATAGAAAATGAGCTAGGGGGACTTAGTAATTAAACTAGGCGCCCTCAAACGAGCCCCAAGGATGACGGCGCGGATGGGCGCAAAAATTTGAATTGAGACAGCGGCAAGACACAGCTTCTGACATCGCCACGTGTCCTGGAGCTCCTTCTTCTCTTTTTCAAAACCATTCAATAATTCAATTCCAACTTCAAATACTCTCCAGTAGTCGCTCAGTTCCTCCCTCATCCTCAGAAACCCTAGCACTAGCAGAGCTCAGTAAGTCGGCTCAGTGCCTTACAATGAAGCCTTCGTCGCGGTACAGTTCGTACGATGCACGCTCCTCAACCTCGTCGCACTTCTCCGACCCCTCGTCTTCCACTGAGCTCAAGCTCCCCACATCCTCACGAGCCGTCGTCAAATCTAAGGCGTCGGATCCCAACATCGCCACAATGATGAAAAAGTTCATGGAAAAGCGATCCACGTCCAAGGCTAAACCAATTAAGGCCACGGGCTTGGTGATTCCGTCCGATCTAATCGCTGGCGACTTGAAAAATACGGCCAGGAACGGGACGGGTTCGAATTTAACGGCGTTGGGTAGGAAGCTCTTTGGGAAAGGAACAGGGACGACGTCGTCAGATAAGAAAAAGGAGGTCAAAGCGTTGACTGAGGTAAAAGGGAACACCAGGACGCTGGCCATGGTGTTAAGAAGTGAGAGAGAGCTTTTGAATCTGAATAAGGAGCAAGAAGTGGAGATTGCCGAGCTCAAGTTGATGCTTCAAGAAAAGAACAGAGAAGTGAGTCATTTTGTCCTTTCTTTTTTGCGCGGATAATAAGGTTGAACTTTAAATTTTGATTTTTTTTTTTTTTGTTAACTCTGCGTTTACATTTATTAAGTACAAATTAGTGTCACAGATTTCAAACTTTTGAAACAATTCAGCAGTAAAGTCCAGACCTTTTAAATTTGAATTGGACAGTAATAAATTGGGCCAATTTGAGTGCGGTTTTTGTAATAGAGAAATAATGAGGCGGTGGACTTGTTTGGAAAGTGCAGGTGGATAAATTGAAGGATTTGTGTTTGAAGCAAAGGGAAGAAATCAAATCATTAAAGAATGCGATTTTGTTTCCAGATGTTATGAATTCCCAGCTTCAAGAGATGTTAGAGAAGCAGGGGTCAGAGCTGAAGCAAGCGAAACAAGTAATCCCAAATCTTCAAAGGCAGGTCACTTCCCTTACTGGACAGCTTCAGTGCCTTGCAGAGGATCTTGCTGAGGTATTGCCATTCACCTTTTCACTTTTTAATTGATCCTTTTACGTCGTAATGCAATATTCTACTGTTAGAGGATTCTTTCCAACTAAATAGCTTGTAAATGGTCATGTTCATCTGTTAGATGTAGCATCCATTATGACTATAATGTTCTCTTCTCTGTGGAATGCTATGCTTACTGAATTCAAAGGGAACTAGATGCTGGTCCGGGTTTTATTTATTTACTTTTAGTTTTTGTCTTAGATTTTGCTGACAAATGTTATATTCATTGAGCAGGTGAAGGCAGATAAATGTTCAGTTAGGGCACGTTTTCAACGTGATGACAGTTCTCCAAGAACCCCAACATATGATGACAATGAACCTTCCAATTCTGTTGTAAGCACACCTTGATAAAGTAATAAATTGGAAAATGTAATAGACAGCTAGGGCCGAATGATCTTAGATTTACAAATGTAATAGACAAAGTGATGTTCAAGTCAATTTACATTTCCTACTTCCTTTTCACTAATGATCTGTTCATTCAAACAGGAGTTCAGCTCTGGTGATCCAACCAGCCCTGGTAGTCCAGATGACATGTTCCTGAAGGATTTAAATCCTTGCTTGACACCCTATTATGCTAAAACAAAGTCCAAGGTCACATTTAATTTTGTTTTATCTATTACATGTTTGTTTGGTTCTAATAGTCTCCTATAGAACTGATAAACCCTGCATGCTTTTCCAGATTGATTGCAAGTCATAAATGTTTGAAATAGGGTTGAATTTTTGCAGGAATTTGATGAGATGGGCTATGACTCTCCATATGGACATCATGAAAGCTTATCTCAAAACAAGATGGAGTTTGGATTTAACTTTTGTGCCAAGAAGTTGTCCAAAAGTTCTGATTGTGCCCAGAAGCCCGAAGCAGAAAGCAGAATAACTCAAGCAAACCGGAGATTGGGTGATGGCAGACGAACTTATGGAAAACAAATTCATCAAAGATTTATCTAAATCCGCTGTCATATGTTAGTAATTTGCTTCGTAGTGTTCCTATTTCATCTTTTGCTTCATCGGGGTCAGTATCTAATCTACCATCTTATGCACAAGATATACTGACCAAAAGGTGAAAGTCCCTTCACAGTAGAAGAGTTTGTGCGTTCTTAAAGGGTGTTGAATTTACTGGTGAGTGGTTGTACATGGTGCACGTGAAGAACATGAATAACAAAGTCTTTTTTGTTACTGAAAGTCCCTTTATCTGCTACATAATAAACTGTCTATTCTAGTTCAGTAACATGTTTCTTTGTGTTCAATGAATCAAATGAGGAATTCTTTAGCATTCTTTACTGAACAAAAATTAAACTGTAATTGGAATAGATTCATTGGGGAGAAGGATAAATGCAGTTTAATCTACTGTGGTTTGATCTGGTCGTTATATGTGTTTGTGGAGTAGGATTAGAACTTTTCTTGAAGATTAATATTTGTATAACTAACATGCAAGACCGTACATGGACAGAATAAAGACCTTAACTAAAGGCAGAGAGGATTCATAGCATTAGTGTAGTACTAGTAGGGGTCTGTAAGTTGAACCAGCATGATGTTGGATTCATTTAGCTATTTATGTATGAGCTATTCTCGTACTGAATTACAGTATCAATTCCATGGCACTTAATGTAAGAGTTCTGGCAAATATTGGGTGTGACAATATGCGCATTGTTGACAAAGAAGTTAGCTCTGCCGCGGTTGTTGATTCTGATCATCTTGTTCTCGACACCAGACGGTATAAGGCTCCCGGTTGGAAAATGTAAAAAGTCATTGAAAAGGAGAGGCGTTGTGACAGCGTGACTTATCAGGAAATCTTGGAGATGGTCTACTGATATTGGGGATTCAGATAATTGGGAGTCACCTGGCATCAAGAAAGTTAAGGACCGGTATGGTTGCGACGTGCTGTTTAGCATCTGCAGAAGAATTGCAAATCCATAGTAAGACTTTGATCTCATATCCGTAACTGCCGCTTGCACGTCGGTGTAGTTGAGACCGTGGACCTGTGGGGAAAGTGGGAAGAGAGCAGAAACAAGGATAAACAAAAACCAAGGAGCCATTATATTAGAGGGTAGACTGTAGAGAAAGAGAGATGGAGATTGGAGGATAGGGATGAGACTGAAGCGTATATATGTTAAACCAAGAGAGGAACAAAAAGGGAATTAAGGCCATTGTTTTTTGTGTTGGCAAGTTGCAAGTAGGAAAGATAGATGCATGACACGAGTGCTTCATGACATTGTATTCTATTACAAGTTAGTTTGAGGGTAGGTAATACACGAGGAAGCGATCACTCTTGGATTGGACCCAAATGTAACTTAGCAAAAGTGCATATAGCTTGTTTGTGCCTCGGTTGGCGGTGGCTCATTTTAAAAATATTGAAAAGCAAAGCCATTGCAAATTGCAAGGATGAGGGCACTTTAGGCATTGTAGAGAGAGAGAGAGAGAGAGAGAGAGTATATATTAGTCTTAGATTTGATTCGTTATTGCGTAGAATTGAAGGAACGCATATAGGATAGCATGTTACTTTGATTTGAGCTTTTTCTTTTTAAAGATGAGATGAGAATCTCGTGGCCCAAGTTGGTTTGGTTGCTCCATAAATACTATAGAGATGTTTGAATTGCGGCAGTTACAAGTTTTTGTTGAGTTGAAACTTGAAAACAATGTCTTCTACTTTGCTGCTATGGATTCTGCTAGCTCTCATGTTTTTGGCTCAAACACCACAAAGATGTGGTAGTAATTAAACTCGTCTCGTCATTATTTATTCTATTTAATAATAAAGAGCTCTTTTAATTGCCTTGTGTTGTTGCTGTTGTTGTTGTAAAATGAAAGGAGGGCAGTTGGAGGAGGAATGGTGCATAGCCGATGAGCAGACCCCAGACGAGGAGCTGCAAATGGCGCTTAATTGGGCTTGTCAAGTGGGAGGAGCAGACTGCAGTAAGATCCAAGAAAACCAAGCATGCTACTTGCCCAACACTCTACAGCACCACGCCTCTTACGCCTTCAACAATTACTATCAAAAGTTGAAGCAGCAAGGAGGGACTTGCTACTTCAATGCTGCTGCTTTCGTCACTGCCCTTGATCCAAGTAATAATTCATTATTCATTTCAGCTTGCATTGGATTTATCTTATATACATACCGTAATTCTTTTTCTTTCTTCTTCTTCTTCTTATTTTTGTGCTTGGGTGGGTCACAGGTCATAATTCGTGCAAGTTTGAGTACCTTCCTTGATGAAAGCGTGGGGGAGGATTTGGATTTCCAGTGAAACAAGTTAAAAAGAGAGGATTTGCATTTGTGGTATTATCACTATGTATGTATCACATACAGATCCAATTAAAATTATTTTTGAGTTTCCATTCACTCTCACTGAGCTCTGCTCTGCTTTAATTCATTTGATTATTTCCAGGACTGCTATGGTCGATGCATTGACTCTTTTACTCTTAGCTAGCTATGTCTATTATATATATATAAATTATAAATTAAAAACAAAAAACAAAATTGTTTGGGGCTGTGGTCGATGCATTACTTTACACTTGTTGGTGGACCTTTGGATTCAAAGATTTGCCCCAATTATGCTTTATACCAGGCCGCAGTTTCTGCTTTGAGAAAAAACGAATTCTATAGTGAGGGCCTTATGTATGGTTCTTAAGTGAGACCCTATCTCTTAATCGTTAGATCAAATTTGTTAGCCGATAGATCAAATTTGTTAGCCTAATCCAACAATTAAGAGATATGACCTCACCTTAAGGCTTTAGATAAGACCTCCACACTACAGAATGCCTGGATAACCCTGAAACTGGCCCAACTATACTACTAGGCCCGAGTTTCTCCTTTGACAAAAGCATGCAAGGTTTGGGCTAGGTTGAGCTGCAGATTGGCCCATACCCAGAAACTGGAACATGTTTTTCACATTCTAGGCTTCAACTCAGTTGATTGATTTCTAACCAAAATATAAAAAATGAAAGATAAAAGGGTTATGATCAAGTGGTGGAGCAGAGATATGGGCTGTGAGTCAGGTCACAAAATAGCTAATAGCTAGCCTCTCCTCTCCCAATTCTAACCTCTCTCCCTGTATATTATGAGCAGGCAGTCATTAAAAGAAGATGGGACGGGGGTGCATAGTCACTTTCACATGCATAGATACTCATAATAGCTAAAGCTAGCTCTACATGAAAAGACTAACCCAATCAATCAGATCCCATATGAGTATGTATGTTATCAATGGGCACAGAGAAAGATGCTAGAGCAGGGTCATCAACAACAGTTGCCTCCATGCCATCCCTCTCCTCCTCTCAATTCCAATCCAAATATCAATCAAATACCAATCCAAACACGGCTCCTAATAAGTTATCTTATTTCAAAATTTAATATAATCACTTCCCATTTATATGTGTAATCTGAATTATTATTGTTGTGATATAGTTTTGAGACATTACTTGCAAGTGAAATTGGATGTAGATTTATGAACAGTGTGTCCATAGTCCATAGTATTAGTGAAGCTCTTTTACTGTTAATGTGAATTGAGTAGGAAGGCAGGCAGAAATGGCTCCATAGTCCGTAGTCTATATAGTTCATAGTCCCCAGTATTAGTGACTGGTGGTGGTGAGAAGAAGCAAACACCAACTTTCTTTCTTCATGCTACCCTCATCCCTCATCTCTCATCTCACATACAAAAACCTTACCTACCATGGAAAAACCGACAGGGACCCACTAACTAAGCACAGATCAACACAACAAAATTCAAAATGACCCCACCACCATAATCCAACTTTGCGTCTTCCTTTAATCTTTTTAACTCTAATGGTAGAAATGGGTCATCATGAATTCCACCACCAGAAACAGACATCATTTATTAATGGTAGAATTTAAGTTCCTCACCTTATCTAACTCCTTCCTTGGAGCAAGCAAATATTGCCTCTTCCTAGAAACAAATTATAGGGAGAAAATTTCATAAAATAAATAATAATAAAAGAAAAACTCCCCCAAAAGATCCCAGGCCACCACTATGTTTAATAAATGCAGAGAACCAGAGGTAAGGTGAGGCTCCATTTAATGTCCCTAAGCTAAATTAAGTGAATGGTGAGGCGCCCTTTCCCCCTAATAACAAGCGCCTCTGTCTTTCACCACTTGGCAGGCCTTGCATGCTATGCTGGCAGCAAAGCTCCAATCACCAAATATAATATTTTCGGAATTTATAGAATAAGAAAGGGAAAAAAAAAACCCAACAAGAAAAAGGTTGGAACTTTATAATATTAAAGAAAAAAGAAGGCTTTTCTGAGCGCCTATATAAAGTAGTGGGAAGTTGAAGGTAGGTGGGCTGAGTGATGATAGTGCATATTGCTGGGTGGGGTACTACTGTTGTGTGGGTGTGAGAGTTTTGTTCTTGCTTGCTTTTGCTTCTTTTTCAACTTGTTGAGCAAAGTTTTAGGCTTTTAGGACTGGTTTTTCATATTTGGGAAGAATGAGCTACTTGGGTGTTGGTGTTAGTCCTGGGAATGTTCCGGTGTATCACAGCACCAATTTAAAAGTGATTGATCGGAGAGTGAGGGTGGCAGAGTTGGTTTTGAGGTGTGTGATCTGTGGTTTAGGAGTCATTGCTGCTGCTCTTGTGGGAACTGATACCCAGGTCAAAGAGATCTTCACAATCCAGAAGAAAGCAAAATTCACTGACATGAAAGCTCTTGTGTACATCTCCAATGCTCCTCTGTTCTAAATCCCCCATGTTTCTGTTTTCCTCTTTGAGGCAATTTTTTATTCATGTTTTGTTATGTAGGTTTTTGGTGATAGCCAATGGGATAGTCGCTGCATACTCTCTGGTGCAAGTGCTGCGCTGTGTTGTGAGCATGGTTAGAGGAAACGTGCTCTTCAGCAAGCCCATAGCTTGGATCATTTTCTCTGGTGATCAGGTATCATTACATTGCATCTTGATTAATTAAGTAGCTCCTTTTGGTACTAATTATTATTGCCTTGGTAGTTAATTAGAAATAACTGTGTGAATTAGAAATTGGTACTTAATTAGAAATCATTAATCAGAATTTGGTACTTAATTAGAAATCATTAATTTGTTAATGGGTTTGTGTAGGTGATGGCATATGTGAGTGTGGCTGCAGTAGGAGCTGCAGCGCAATCTGCGGTGTTTGCCAAGTTGGGGCAGTCAGAGCTGCAATGGATGAAGATATGCAATATGTATGACAAGTTCTGCAACCAAGTTGGGGAGGGAATTGCAAGCGCTTTATTAGTTAGTCTGAGCACTGTGGTGCTCTCTTGCATTTCTGCTTTCAATCTCTTCCGCTTGTATGGTGGCAACAAGAGCAAGAGCAGCGGCGCCACCAGGTGGTAGGGGGTCTAGGTCTAGCCAGCCTTCTTCTAGGAACCACAAAGACCCCAACAAAACACCAACCACTACTTTGTAACTAAAACTAGTCACTTCTTATGTGTGATGATGAGACGGACGGTGATGATAAAAATGTAGGCTTTTGCTGCCTTTGAATTCTTACAATAAATTGATGAGGCCAGTATGTTCTTGTAGAGTTTATTCTTTCTTGATGAACCATCATTGAACTTGGAACTATAATATCAAGTGGTCAATGTAACATTAGAGCTGCCTTAATTAATTACAAGCTCTGTTGCAGGAGGACTTCTCAAACCTCTCACCTTGGCTTTCTTGTGTTGTGATAATTGAACTTAATTAGCTGCATGTGTTTAGCAAAAGTGTATCTACTTGCTAACAGTACCCCAAGCTAATAGACCATATACAAAGACTTGCATTAGACAATAACCCGAAAGCTTGTATATATAGAAGAAACTATAGGTTTGAGGGTTGGGAGGGAGATTTACTCATACACAGTGTCAAGTGCCACGGAGGTTCGAATCGAAGACCACTGATCTGTAAATTAGACTTTTTTCATTGAACTAAATACTAGTGATTTGCAAATTAAGACTTTTTTCACTAAACTAAACCCCATTGATAAGAGTTGAACTTTCAAATGCCTAATAACTAACATCATTTACTATTTTTATTTGTTAAATAAATTGATACCCCATTTTCAATTAGGGGCTGTATATTTTATTTATCGATCATATGCAACTTTTTTTTTTTGTTCTAAACATATACAACTCTTTTTTTTTTAATTTTTAAATAAAGCGATAGTATTTATTGAAGAAATAGAACATAGTACAAAGCCACAAAAGTGTCGAAATGGGTACAATATCTCCAGTGACCAAATGAATCTGGAGAAATTTGTGCTTAAACCAACAAATATTCAAACTCCTGATTTAGCAGCTCGAAGGACTTGTACTCAAACTAACAATATAGATCCACTGTGCAACAGTAGAAACGACTGATCCGTATCTCAGCCGAAAGTAAAATACAAACTAAGAAAATCCTAATGAGTAATAGACTAAAACATACAAAGAAAAACAGGACCACAACTTCACATCCTCTCTGACCCCCAAAGAGATCCAAAGCGCCATACCAACTAAACCCTTAGTGCCGCACCCGCTAAATCTGAACCCACACAAACCGTCAATTTCCGTTATTGTAATTCCAAACTCGGAACATGAGCTAAAACCCAGTGTATGTGGGCCAAAAAGAGCAACTAAATCATGACGACAATGGTGTTTCACGGTGGCTGCTTCAACAACCTCCAAGATACACAAGAGTTCCAGCAAAATCACCCAAGTCGACCAAAACCAATTGTCAGTCCTCGGGAAAAGTATAGATCTAGAATAGACCTATACATGAACTCCTGAATCTTTAAAAAAAAATAATAAACCAAACCAAACCAAAACACCTACAAAAACAAAAGAACCGCACAAAATCAAAGCAAAAAAGAAATATGAGGGAAAAAAACTGAGGTAGGGGATGGTGAGAAGGGGTAGGGAGGGAAGGAGGGGATGGGAAGCCATGGAAGGAAAATTAAATCAACTCGCAATCGTGGGTTTTAGAGGGAAGAGCGATGAGGAGGAGAGGAGGGAAAGGGAGGGTAGAGGGTGGGGGCCAGAAAAACTTGTATGAAACGGGGATAACACTGTTTTGTTATTTTTGGCCAATCACAGTTTGTCATGTGAAAAAGTTAACAAGCGTGTCATACTATGATTGGTTAGAAATAATAAAATATTGCTATCTCTATTTCATATAAGTGTTTCTCGTTGAAAGGGGTCGGGCGCTGAAGGAAAGGTGTGGAGGCTCATATACAACTATTTTTAGTAAAGAATATTGGTACAATATAAGATTTTCTTTTTCTTTTTCTTATAATATAACATACTAGTTAATCATTTACAATAACAAACCATGAGGCAATTTATAGTTTCCTTAAAATAACGGATTGCACAATTTAGACAACCAAACAATTACCGCGATAATTCAAAACATAATTAATTCTGATGACAAATTTACATTGTGGGATAAATGTGTGCACTTAAAAAAAATTATGTTAATCAATTCAACAAAACATAATATAAGAATTAATGAAAAAATAATTGAAAAGGTATCAATTAGATTTTAGACTAATGATATTTTTATTTTTGATATTTTTGAATTTATATTATAATATAAATAAAAAGCGTAAAGAATGAGTGGCGTGGTGGACCGTGGTCGACACGTGCCTCAAACGCTGACGGTGCATAAGTATACAGAGGAACCCGAAATCTAATAGATAACGAAACAAGTAATACATTACCAAAACGAGTATACAAATCAAACTACTTTCGTTGACCTTCTTTTTTCCACAGCATTCTACAACCCCATTGGCTGCTAGTCTAAACAGCCTTGTTATGAATTACACAAGATCACCTAAGCGCGGCTAAGCCACACCTTCTCTTCTCTCCCAGCTTCTGGTAAATGCACCCGCCTCTGACCTATCAACCCATTTTCCCTTTCTCGTTCATCTTCAAACTCCAAAAACCCTAATTTGCAGAAACCCTCATATCAAATTTTCGACTTACTGAATACGCTCCGGTTTAAATTTGTCGGCTTTAAAGTGATGTCAGAGAAGTTCTCGGCGACGCTTCGAATTGGAGATCTCAACGATTTCATAGCGCCATCTCAGGCTTGCATAGTCTCTCTCAAAGGACTCAAAGCCTCCTCAACCAAGCCCTCTGCTAAGCCTGAGGTAAATTTCTCCCTCTCTTTATTTTTTCCTTTTCTGGTAAACTTTTTTTTTTCTTTTCGTTTTCCTAATTGTTGAAGCAAGTGTCAGCTCTTCGATTTTGACATATGAATTTATTCTTAATTGAAGCTGAAGTAATGATATTTAAGCTTGTTCGTTATTTTTTTCTTTCCTTTGTTGTGAAGGTTTCAACTTCTAGCAAGCAATTGAAAACAGAACCAGTTAAAATTTCACTCAAAGATTGCTTAGCATGCAGGTAAATCATGTCTCTGATTTTTTTATATAATTTGAATGTGAAACAAATCAGAATTCGGGTACTAGGGGGCGTTGAAGTTCGGGTTTTTAATCTTTTATTTATAAAATCACTTTTTTTACTAGCCTTAATTGCCATGTTAAAGTTGTTCTTTCATATTTGGGATTGGACTTGCTGTTTGGCCTAATTTTCACTAACAATATATGTTGTAATGATATTTGCCATTTTAAAATTTCGAAGGAAAAAAATTACTGGGTTCTTAGAATCTGCATACTATATTGTGCAAGACTAGTTAAACATAAAATAGTTGGCTCAAATTTACTGACCTTCCTGCTTGGTGGATTATGATTAAACTAGCTCAACCAAGTTAGAATCTACTGTAAGCCCATACAAATGGGATAATATCTATGATTTTCTGTACTGTGCAGTGGGTGTGTAACATCAGCGGAGACAGTTATGCTGGAGAAGCAAAGTTTGGATGAGTTCCTTTTTAATATTGATAAGGGAAAAGCTGTCATTGTCTCCCTATCTCCCCAATCAAGAGCTTCACTTGCCGTGTATTTTGGAATTTCACCACTTCAGGTCAAATATAACGTTGCAGCTTGTTTTTCCCTACGATGAATTGTTAACTCTAAGTCAAGGTTCTTATAGAATCCTAATAACTGTTCATTCACTTTTGGTGTATGCAATAAGTTAGTCGAGCATACCTGTTGTCATTGGATGTTAACATCGGATGTTATTTCAATTTTCCAGGTCTTTAGGAAACTCACGACTTTTTTTAAGTCATTGGGTGTAAAGGCTATATTTGATACAAGTTGCAGTAGAGATTTAACTCTTGTTGAATCTTGTAATGAGTTCATCACAAGGTACAAAAAAAGCCAGTCAACGGATGATAAAAGCTGTCAATCTTCCTTGCCCATGATTTCATCAGCGTGCCCAGGTATATACATCTAAGGCCTATAATTGTTTGGTAATTGCATTATATCCTTTTCTCTTCTTGCGTGTGTGTGTGTGTGTGCGTGTGTGTTTGCGCATGCATAAGGGTGTGGGCGTGCGTGCGTGCGTGCGTGCGTGCGTGCGTGTTTCTGTGTGTGTGTGTGTGTGTGTGTGTGTGAGAGAGAGAGAGAGAGAGAGAGAGAGAGAGAGAGAGAGAGAAGAGGCATGAATTTTATTTTCTGCTTTGTTGTAGAGGTACAAAAACTGGAAAAAAAAGGAAAAGAAAGGGTTTTTAATTGATAAAAGATAATAGTTCAATACTATATTCACATTTTTGCTTTTGTTGATAAAGAATATGGTGAATTGTTTCTGTCATGATTTATAAAATATGTGTTCTTGCAGGTTGGATATGCTATGCTGAAAAGCAACTTGGATCCTATGTTCTTCCTTATATTTCTTCAGTGAAGAGTCCCCAGCAAACAATTGGAGTTATTGTTAAAAATAATATATGCCAAAAAATGGGTCTTAGGTATTTTTTTTCTGTCCTTTGTTTCTTTTCTTGGGTTGATAGGTTATTTTTTGTGTCTAAAGTTCAAGCCCGCTCCCTTTTCAGCCAAACTATGATCATAATTGGGACGTGGATAATTTCTTCTGTATTCTTGTAGCTTTATAAGAATTCTAATCATTGATGTTCCATAATATGTACATATTATTTTTATCAAATTTCTGGTGTTGACAGTCTGGTTAATAGGACCATTCTTTATCAGTAATGAAATTCTTAGCACGGCATTGGCAGAGGTAGATCCTCTTTTACTTAGAATTTATAAATTTATTTTGTGCAATGGAAATTGACAATTTTCTAGCATATATTAGCATCATTTTCTGTTAAAATTCATGAGAAACTAGCTGTGCTTGGTTCATAGGCACAATTGTTAATGGGTTTAGTCCACATATGATTGTTATGCTGCCTTGGCTGTATTTAGTATTGGAAGTTTGAAGTACATAATTTTCTTCTGGTGAAATTAAATGAATTCACAGAAGTATCTTATTTTCATTGCATATCCCTGAATGATTTTATTTGACAGGCCGGCTGATGTGTACCATGTGACTGTGATGCCTTGTTATGATAAGAAGCTTGAGGCTTCACGTGATGACTTCGTTTTTGAAGTTGAACAATCCAAAACTAATGAGAATGAAGGTCTTATGGTTTCAGAGGTAGATTCGGTGTTGACATCTGGGGAAGTTTTAGAATTGATACAGGTGAGACCAAAATTTTAAGTAATTATTACCATCTCCACTTTATTCCACTTTTCTAAATAATGCTTACTTATATGAACTCAAATTTTTTGTTTTTTTGGGTGGCTGCAGTTAAAAGGAGTTGATTTTAAAGGCTTAGAAGAGTCTCCTCTGGATAGCATGTAAGAGCTGAAAATATTTCCATAAGGCTCCTTCTATGTGCTGTGGACTTTTTAACAAATATGTTGTTCCACCAGGTTGACAAATTTTAATGAAGGGCATCTTTATGGAGTCCAGGGAAGCTCTGGGGGTTATGCAGAAACAATATTCCGTTATGCGGGTAAAGTGCTCTTTGGAAGAGAAGTCAAAGGCCCTGTTGATTTCAGAACTATTAAAAATTCAGACTTCCAGGAAGTGACTTTGGAAGTAAGTAAAGTTTCTTTATACTTTTGTTCACAAATGTGGTAGGCTTGTAAGAGGCAGGGGAAGGTTCTCCGTGTTTTGAAGCACTGGGTTAGATTGTAATTACCTATGGTAGTTTATGTCTCTAGCCCGACCGCTTGATAAAATGTAGGGGGAAGTAGGACAATTGGCCGATACTAGTTGTGATTTAGTTTAGAGGTGATCTGCTTGTCATGGTTTTGTGGCTTTTTATGCACGTAAAACCTATCTTGTTATGGTTGTTTGGATAGTTTTCTGGTATTGTATTCCAGGTATACGAGGTCATATGGCGTTTCCAGTCTTTATCTTTGCATCCGTACAGTATTGGTTGGTGGTATATAGATTTGGAAAAAAATTAAGGGCTAAGTCCTTTTATTAGCATTGCTGTCCGTTTTTGTATAGAATATTGATGCCCTCTCATTTAGGTGGAAGGGAAGACCGTATTGAAATTTGCACTATGTTACGGTTTCCGGAACCTGCAAAACATTGTCAGGAAAATTAAAATTGGAAAATGTGATTATCATTTTCTAGAGATCATGGCATGCCCTTCAGGTATGTTTCTTGTAAAATGCGCTCCTTATATGTGGTTCAATATTTTCAATTATCCTTCATATGAAACTGGGACTTTGGAAGTAATACTAACTGGAAGTTAACAGGTTGCTTGAATGGTGGAGGACAGATTAAGCCACAGCCTGGGCAATCTGCAAAGGAGTTGATTCAGTTATTACAAACAGCCTATATGGAAAACGTAAGTGTTTGGTAGCATTATTTTCAGTTATTTTGTGGACTCTACTTGCAGTATGAGGCTCATAAACTTTGATAACTTTGGCCGTTTAACTGATGGATATTCGAGGCATCTACTGTTGGCATGGATCTTTTGTAATTTTTAACTTTGTTTATTTTGTTATTTAGCTTGCTGTTGTGGTATTGAACCCTATCTTTGGCCTGGGAATAATGATGATGTTTGTAGGCTTTGAATGACAATCCTTTAATATTGTACAGGTTTTGATAGCGGATCCTTTTGGAAACCCTTTAGTGCAAAGCTTATACGATGAGTGGCTTGAGCATCCTGGTTCAGAGAAGGCTAAGCGACTCTTTCACACAGATTACCACCCTGTTGTGAAAAGCATAAGTTCTCAGTTACACAATTGGTAAATGATTGACTTAACCTCCCGAACTCCAGTTTTCTCAACAAGGTGCGAACATCCCTAGACAGTCCCTACTGAGTGCCGAGGCTAGTCATCGTCTGGGAGCCTGTCAAATTTTTGATACAGAGGATCAATATTTTGTTTTGACAATTTTTTTCCCTACATAATGTGTATAGTGAACTTGCCCTTATAGAAGAAAGAATCAATTACATGCGGTTGTAATAATAATAATAATATTTTTTTTTGTGGCGATTTAGTATGTAAATGTAGCTTTTTCCAATTTTATTCTCTGTTTCAATTCAATCATGCTCACTTTCCTGCCCCACTGAGTTATCATGTAATCAATCACACGCACGAGAAATATGTAGCTGACTTAACAAACAATTTGTTTGATGTATCAAGCAATGGAGTACGCAGAGACCTTGTAATATGAAACTCCGACACGAAAATGGGGCCCCTACCTAAATCAAACTCTTGGCTCCCCTAATGTAAACTTAGAAGATTAGCCATCATGTGATGTATCAATGTACTGTAAGTTGATCAAAAGTGGGGTCTCAGTTTTCCTATGTGTGTAGTTCTCTCCTCTTCATGCTTGCTCTGCAATGGAGAAACTCAGGCTTGTAAAGCATTTTCAAAATAATGAAGGTGGATATAAGTTAAACAACCTTGCCAGCTTAATGCGTGGCGGGAGGGATTGCTATTCAACATCATCAACTGCTTTGGTTCAGAGTCGGAGAGAGCTAGCATTTTCAAAATCTCTCTCTCATTGCCTTCACTCTCTGCGGCTGTCTAAACCAATAGAGCTATGGAAGAATGAACGACAGTGGGGAGGAGTGAACTCTGAGCAGCCTTATATATATGTACATATATATATATATATATAGTTGTTCGTATAAGATTGTCTAAACAAACAAACAAACATGTTTGTATGAGATTGTCTGCTTCAATTAATTAAACAAGTGAGTTTAGTTGTTCGATGAAATTCTAAGTGATTTAGAAAAGGAATGAGAATCGGCAGGTAAACAGCAAAGTCCAAAAAGAAAAGGTTGAGTGGCCAAATCTAAGGGAGTTTGTTTGTTTAGTGTACTGTGTATGTGAGGGGAGAGGCAAAGGCATTGCTAAAGGAGAAAATGGTTTGGAGAAAATTCCAAGAAGAATGTTGAAACAACCACATGGAAGGGAGTGTTTGGAATTGGATGATACTCTGTCAACTAGCTGCTCCCATGAAAAAAAAACCCCTCTTTAGCTTTGAAAGGCTCTTTTATCTTTTTGGTAGGCCTTTTTCTTTTCTGGTTCGTTTTTTCGAGTTCCTTTGTCCCTATGCTTTGTGTGCGCTGCAGAAAAGAAGGGATGAATGTGGGGGCGGTGTGGACAATAATGTATGACAAAGACAAACATACCAACACTCTCTCTCTCTCTCTCTCTCTCTCTCTCTCAAGATATAAGTTTTGTCTCGGAGTCTTTGGAATGGAATGGCATGCAGAAATGAAAGCTGCGGCTACTAAAGGAAGGGGACTGTATGCTTCTTTTTTATGCAACAAAAGGATCCTCTCTGTTATTAAATTTAAAATTTCGAAGCCCAAAAGATTGAAAGATATGAAATAAACTTTTATCTTCTGGAGCAGGCGTGCAGTGCAATTAAAGTTTCTACACTAAGTTATCCTTTTGCCTTGTGTTTGGGTAAATGCGCACACACACACACACACACACACACATATATATATAATATTACAAGTGGAAATTTGGCCAGCCTTGTAAGTTGTATGTTGTGTTGCAGTTCCTATTTCTAAATCACACTTACAGGCGATTTCATGAGCAGCATTCAGTAAATAACACAAAAGCATTTGGTCGTAAGCTGGCTGATATGCAACGCCCCTGTTTTTTTACTTATGAAATGCGCCGTATCCAAATAAGAAGAAGAAGAAGAAGAAGATCTAAACCTACCAAGCACCTACACGAGGGTTGTGAAACATTTGAAATGTTGACTATTATATGGCGATAAGGAACACATTTAGACATAAAAAATTGAACTCTTGTTTAGAAATTAGAGCAACTCTTCAGCATTTTAACTTATCCCAAATGGAAAGAAATTTGGCAATCGAAAACTAAACAAATAGTTCAAAAATTCTTTCAAAGGCGGTAGATATTATTTTATTTCTTCAGATGAGAGCTGAAAAGACTAGTTCATATAGGCATGCCGAGTGCAAACAGCCAGCCACATTGTTCTTGTTCCAAAGGGTTGGGATGGTGATACATACTTCACTTCCATGAGTGATGTTTCAAGTTTGATTTGATACATACACTGAAAACTTTGACAGCTTCATGCATGCATGCATGTTACACCATGGCACCATTCTAATGCATGAAGGTTAGCTCATGCCTAAATAAATAAAAATATAGCAATTCATATAATACTCTAAGGAGCATGAATTCGTTTACAGATGAAGAGAAGTATCCACATCAGAGTCGCAATCGGAACCTTGGAATTTATTTGAATAAGTGTCTAACGAAGGGGTGTCTGTGACTGAAGGCCATAAGTTGATCAACAGCGGGGTCTCAGTGCTCCTATATAGTATATAATCCTCATGATTGCTCTGCAGTGCTGGCCACAGGGACAGAGAAATGCCGGATTCTGATGATCCATGACCATGAGGCTGAATAAGATCATGGTGATCAGGATGGAAAAACAACCTTTCCGCGGCCGGCTTGTCATGCACGGTGGGAATGGGATTGCTAGTATTCATCATCATCATCAACTGCTTATGCTTTGGTTCTGAGTCACAGAGAGCTAGCATTCGCAAAATCTCTCTCTCCTCTCTCATTGCCTTCACTCTCTGCAGCTGCCGAAACCTTTCCTGCAATAGAGCTATGGAGGAATGAATGACTGTGGCATCATGGCTTTCCCTCTCCATTTGAGTTTGATTCATTACAAAGTATATAATATACTCTTTTTTCTAAATGGGAAAGTTTTTTTTAGTTGAGCTTCAAAATTGGGGTGGACCGTGGTGGGAAGGGAAGTGATGACCTCTAACTCTAAGGGAGCCTTAAACAGGCTTCATGTATATATAGGGCAGTGGCATGTACATGTATAAGATTGTCGGCTTCTGCCTCAATTAGGTTTCAATAAGAGAACTCATCAGTCCTCGGATGAAACTCTAAATAAGTGGTTTTAAGAAAGGAATGAGAATCGACAGAGAAGCTGCAAAGTCCAAATAGAAAAAGGTTGTGAGGCCAAATCTAAGGGAGTTTGTTTGTTCGTTTAGTGAGGGGGGGGGG